TTGGTGAGCAGAAGAGAGCAGAGTGCATGCGATAGAATCATTAAACTTGCATGACCTCTTATGCAGCCGTTCTTTTATTAATGAAAAATGTATGAATATTTGTATTTAACATTGATCGCTATATTGATGCATCACAGTCATGCCAGGTTCTTTCCCTAAATCAGTAATATCTATCACCTGTTCATCATCAGCACTCCACTATAAACACTCACAGTTTCGCTCATTTTCAATATGGATTATAGACTCACTCATTTTCCTTAAGTCTTCTTACCTAAAGTCTTCTAGTACTCCTGTAGTACTCCTGTGCACCTAAGCATTGTTGTTCGTCTGGAATCAGCTCCTGGAAAGTTCATCGCTGTATCCTTCAACGACTGGTAAAACAGATCAACATGGTAAAAATCACCACAAAGCACAAACTTACAGCCATTTCCATCTATATACCTGCATTTGTTCAATAAATCAGCTTGTTTTGTTTGCACTAATATCTGTGTCTCCAGTCATGCTTACTGTGAACATGATGATGATAAGAGTCAAGTCAGTTAGTCAGCCTGATTTCTGCATACTTTTTAAATTACTTTAATGTGAAGTGGACGCTGGACAACGGAGTGTGGATCCAAATGCAGGTTTATTAAACAGAGAGGGTCAGGCAAGCAATGGTCAACACAGGGGCAAACAGATGTTTAAAGGGCATCCCGAGTAGTCAAATACACAGGAGAATGGTCAATACAGGCAGGCAGCAGACAACCAAAAACAAACAAAACAAAGAAGGGTTCAAACACGGAAGGCAAGGACACCGCGTCATAACAATATAACAAGACTCAACATAGTCAACATAGATGTTAATCCAAGATTGCATCATACTTGGCAAAATCATGATGTGCTATAAAGAAACATCTAATAAACAAAAAAACATAGATGTTTAAGTGTCTCTTAGAGCTACAGATGCCAATTAATTATTATTTTTTTTTAATGTGAGGCTGAATTTATGGTTACAATTTCTGTGTCATTTCATTTCATGATCTCTTCATGTCTGTGTAAACTTACACACTGTGTACGTTCATGCAACCGGTTTTGTTCAACCTTTCAGGCCAAATATTCCAGCGGACAGAGAGGAAGATGCTCCAGTGGGATTTCTGAGAGCAGCTTTTGACTGTGAAAAAGGAAGAGAGGGATAAGAAAAAAATAACCTTTCCTTACACTGCATCTTTACTTATGAATTTATCATGACCGTGTCCGTACAATACACGGGAATCTCAGCTTCCTTTAATATTTGAAGGTTTAATAATTCATATACTAAAATATGTTCTTTCTCCACTTTCAAACTATCTCCTCTTAGCAGCACTCAAAGTGGTCCAACAGGAGGAGCGGCAGGTCTGCAGGAGGAAAGAGTTTAAAGTGGGACTAAAACTCACAGTGAATGTTTGCCTGTGTCTGTGTGTGTTCCCATTTGACAGAATGACGAAGGACATTGTGCGTTCATTATCCTATATAATTTAGTTTTTAAATCACTTGCGACTTATAAAAATGAATAAACTGTTATATATAATACTTAGTTTTCAAGACAACTCTTTACAGTCTCAATAATAGCAGTTTAAGGTAAAGATGTTACAGTTAGACTACGCATTTTATTTATTTACAGTGTTATTTATTATATCCATATTTATATTTGTTTTATTAAAAACAAGCTTAGATTTGTCCACCTGTCAGGTTTTAGACCATATGGGGCACAGCATTTGTATTAGGATATAACTCAGGTTTTTGAGCACACTTCGTTATTATTGTTCATTTATTCGTTTTCTGGAAATTAGAACTGAATTTAGAATGTTCAATTCAATTCAATTCAGCTTTATTTGTATAGCGCTTTTACAATGTAGATTGTGTCAAAGCAGCTTCACATAAATGGTCATAGTAACTGGAACAGTGTAGTTCAGTTTTTAGTGTTTAAGTTCAGTTCAGTTCAGTTTAGCTCAGTTCAGTGATATTTAATCATTACTGAGAGTTCAAACACTGAAGAGCAAATTCATCGAAGCGTAGCTCTACCAATCCTGAACCATGCGAGCCAGTGGCGACAGCGGAGAGGGAAAAAAAAACTTCACCTGATGGGAGTGAAGAAAAAAAACCTTGAGAGAACCAGACTCAGTTGGGCACGACCATTTTAATTTCTCCGCTGGGCAAAAGTCTTGTGCAGAGCTTCAGTCACCGCGGTGGAGGGTGATTGACCAGAATGTTGTGCGTACAAGGTTTCCCTATCCACGAGAGCGAAAGTGAAACTAGATTATGAGATGACTTATCTCTCATTCTCGCGCGGTAGATGCTCTGTTTAACAGTTTTCTTGCTAGTGAAATGCTCAGTTTTCCACTTACACTTACTTTACGTCATGTAAATAGCAAACGCGCTTATGGTGTGACGCAACTGGCTCTTAAAGGGAATGGGAGATGAGACTCTGATTGGTTTATTCTCAAAACTCACCTATAACTCATTAAGAAAACAAACTCAACCCTTTTAGACCATGTGCCACTGTGCAAAGCGAATTTTTCTGTCCTTAAATTAGCAAAAGTTGAATCTGACACGCCATAAAAGCGTTCGAGCCCTGCGTTTTGCGCATCATCCGTCAAAATAGAGCCCTAAGTGTCCCTAAAAACACAGAAAGTTTAAATACATTTTATTAATAAATTAGATTTTTATCATTTAAATAAATACAAAATTTGATTAACTGAAGCATGTATTACACAAACGAACAATACCCAAAATGTTGACCCCCCCATCATTGGGTTGCATTAATTAATAAATAGACTGGAAAAAAGCTTGGTTGTCGCCTCATAAGTACTTTCTTCCTAATACAACAAAGAAATCCACTTTAAAATAATGCATAAAATATATCCGGCTATATCATTTGTTTCCAAATATGTTGATATTGAGTACTTATACATTTTGTGATAAGGTTGATGAAACTTTATTACATTTTCTTTGTATGTGTGAACTTGTTCAGAAATTTTGGTTTGACCAGTATCATTATTTAAACACTCCTACCTTTGCAAAATCTTTTAGTTTAAAATAAATTATGTTATTACTCAGAATCTGCACATACTTCTAAAGAATTTATCTTTAGTTTTTTTTATCTTGGTTGGAACAAAAATGCATAGCTTCAAGCCTTTCTTTTCAACATTTTCATATTGAAGTCTTCTGATGTCTATTGACTCACTGCTCAAATCTTTCCGTATGTGCAACAACAAAAAAATGGTCAGATTCTTGATATTATAAGAAGAACTGTTGTCTTTTGACTCTGACTTAAGTTAGATAGCTTTCCTGTAATCAGTGGTGTAAAGAGTACTGAAAAATCATACTAATATAAAAGTACCATTACTTATGTCGTGCAAGTAGAGTAAAAGTAATTGTTGTAAATATTAGTTAAAGTATGAGTAAAAAGTAGCCCTTTTAAAAGTACTCAAGAGTAGCGAGAAGTGAGTATTATGCTGAAAAAAAAGCTGATGCATTTACATCTAATTTGTCGATGTGTGTAAACGTAATTGCCTAGGAGGCATACAATATCATAGGATGTAAATATTAAGTGAGATTTATTTATTTTTTATGTCAGGTTATCAAAATTCAATGTCTAGTCAGCGTCTATGGAACACGTTATTTTGATGTCCAATAACGAAGTCAAATGATGTTGATATTTGGCCGATTTTAGGTTGTTAGAAAGTCACCAAAATCCAACGTCAAGTTAATATCTTAAACCAATGTCATATTGATGTCAGATATTGAGATTTATTTGGCAGGTAAGGCAACCAAAATCCAACGTCTGATAGACGTCATAGTGGTAACGTCCACACAACATCAAGCTGTGACATTATTAGACATTGATTTTTGGTTGATTTTAGGTTGGAAGTTGAACATTGACGTAGGCCTGACATTAAGTTCTGACGTGAAATCGTTTTTTATATCCAAACAAACTGCGACATCAACATGACATTAGGGTACAACATCTATCTGACATTATGTTGACATCTTGTGCCTGCTGGGTGCTTACGGCCATTTTGGTCATCATACAGTAAACATCCGCCATCTTCTTATCAGTGACATGCATCTAAACAGTCTCTGGGTCAATGTGTGTAAAGATTTTGGACATCTTCTTGGACACTTTGAATGCTTCCAAGCAGTTTGCTAACATTACATTTGTAAACCGCCCGTAGCTTGAGGTAGTTCATTATAATGCGATTTACCTTCTATGTGCGATCTGATTGGACAGGAATCACAGGACTGATTTTTCTAATCCACATAGACAAGAAAAAATAAAGTGGTGACTGGAGGTTGAAGAAAAGTAGTGGAGTAAAAGTACACAGCACTATAAATGTTCTCAAGGGTAAGTAAAAGTGCACATTTATAAAACTACTTAGTAAATTACAATTCCTGAGAAAAACTACTCAATTACAGTAGTTTGAGTATTTGTAATTAGTTACTTTACACCACTGCCTGTATTGCTCTTAATTTACTATCAAACATTTTTCTACATTTGTGATTTACTCATCCCTTTCTTTGTTTCGTTAGTCTTTTTTCTTTTTGCAGCTAACGTAGCTTGTATTTTCCCTCTTTTGTATCTCTCTTATATTGATCTCCTGGTTGTGCTTGTACATATGTCTATTCTTGAATAAAAATAAATAACAGTTAAGTAAATAACCCTCAAACCCGTCAATGTAACTTAATTCGCACCCTGGTTAAACGGTTAGTGTTGCTAATCCACAGTTAGCTTGTGGTTTAACTAGCATAACAATAACCACCATGTTTTTTTTCGTGTGATTGTTTGTTTATGTCTGCAGAATAACCTTGCTTATTTTCGGGAGTCTGAAAAGCGCTGCCATTTTAAAATCATTAGACAAAACTACAAATGAATGACTGGATATCTCTGAAAAGCACTGTAAAAAGAATGCTAGCTCAGAAACTTCAGCTAAAAAGTTTTAAAAAGGTTCAATGTTACCCCTGAAAGCTCCATTTTACCATATAAAATACCTACCAGTGTTTATAAGGGTTTGGTATGAGTGGAGTGAATGGTCTTGTGATGATCAGTGGGAGCGGTTGGTCTCTGAGATGTAGGATGTGCGTGACTCCAGCGGAAACTCTTCCTCTTGTTCTTCTCCTCACAGCTCTCAGTGCTCCTCAACTTCAACTCTTCTCTTACCCTTTTTCTTCACCGATGGGTTTATTTGTCTGTCATTATAAGACCTTCATTTCGTCTGGAGATTTGACCTCGTAAAAGTGAGTCTGTGGGGAAAATCGCCGGATGCGTTGGACAAGTGTCATATGCTCTGTACATACCGTAATGTGAGTATTCATAACCTCCTTCTAGTTCATGCTGGTTAAACCTGATAAAAACGGTAATAATAGCATTATTATTCTCATTATGTTATCAGTTAAGTGCTGTTGATGCACAGAAAACTATAAAACTCCTTTTGAGATTACCCAGATAAAATTACTATAGTAATTTATAGTAAAAACGATAGTATTTGTGTACGGTAAAGTGATATGTATATAAGATAATATTTACAGCTATTTTAAATGAATGCTACAGTTTGTACGTATTACAACTGTCTAAATGAACTAATACTGCACTACAGTGGAGTATTATAGCCTATTGTAGGAAACGTACAATTGTTTATATTACCAAAGTAACTATAAATGACCACAAGCTGTTCATTTAAGTACTTTACTATGATTGAAAAACAAAATAGATTATCTATTTACTTTAATTACTGTAGTATTTCTTTAATGTGGGTATTCATTTACCAAAAAGTATTTAGTTGACATTAAAACACTTTAAAAACGGTAGCCTAAATGAATTGAGCAAAGCTAGCCTATTGATTTAGATAAATTTGGTAGTTTTAATACACTTAAACATGTATCTGGTTAAATATAAACCCATTGATTTTATCTATTTAAGTTAATGATATAAAGTTGATATTATTGTTAGACTCTGGAGATCTCTTTTTGTGTATATGGTTAAAAGTTGGTAAAAAGTATGGTTAAAAAAAGCACCTGAGATTTAGATTTTAATAAAGCCAGTGATTTGTAAATCTTGACTATTTATTGGGTTTGAATGAGTCTTTGGCCGGAGGTTTGAGCTCAAATACTGTCATCACAAAATCTAAAAGTCTGATTGAGGGGCTCATTCTGATTCACTTGCGTCTAGTCATCTTCATTAGCATCTTCATTAGCATTTCACGGAGACATGAATATTTGACAGTAAACAACACTGATTTGACTGATTTGTGGTCTAATTATAAGCAAATAACCTGAGCATGTATGTGTTAATCTATTACCAATACTTTAGACAGTCTGTTGTGCTAATGTGCTATTTTTGGAGATCCATTTAATGCATCATTATTCAGTTTATTATTCCACCGCTGTGGCATGTATTTGGATATTGTTCTATAATTGCCAAATTTATTATCAAATGTGTGTAAATAGACATCAGATGTACATGTAGTTAGATACCAATTAATATATTTATCATCATAAGGTGTACTAAACCCAATGTATGCCATGATATTTGGTCATTGTGAGATTATTTGTTTTTAAATACGATATGTGTGTAGATATGAGATAATATTTATTAAATAAATATATTATTTTTAAATGACACAGTGGCGCAGTAGGTAGTGCTGTCGCCTCACAGCAAGAAGGTTGCTGGTTCGAGCCTCAGCTGGGTCAGTTTTCATTTCTGTGTGGAGTTTGGATGTTCTCCCCTTGTTCGCGTGGGTTTCCTCCGAGTGCTCCGGTTTCCCCCACTGTCCAAAGACATGCGGTACAGGTAAATTGGGTAGGCGTAATTGTCCGTAGTGAATGAAAGTATGGATGTTTCCCAGAGATGGGATGCAGCTGAAAGGGCATCCGCTGCGTAAAACATATGCTGGATAAGTTGGCGGTTCATTCCGCTGTGGTGACCTCAGATTAATAAAGGGACTAAGCTGAAAAGAAAATGAACGAATGCTTTTTTTAAAGATACTGTCTAATGTATTATGTTTTTGAGGGAGTCAAACTTTATTTGATGAAATGGAAAAAGCTAGAAAAACAAATGTTAAAGGGCTAGTCCACCTAAAATTAAAGTTCTGAAAATGAGTAATTGATCTCAAAATTAAAATTGACTTTAATTTTCATATATTTATTTGCAAATAAACAGTAATGTTTGTAATTAATGCATTATACTAATTTGCATAATGATATTCATAAAATGTATGCATCCTTACTAAGTTACACCATTTTAATGTGTTTTAATTGCATTAAAGCATGTTAAATATGTGTCCTTGATGAAATATTTAAATGTGAACTGCATTAATTCTATGAATAAATAAATGTTAAATACATAATTATAAATGTAAAGCATAATCGCTGAATTATATTAATTGAATTGCATTCATTATATTAATATATACATTTTATGTATCAATTGTGTAAATATATATGATAAATGTTTTTTTAATATTTTGATAAATGTTTTTTAAATATGAGCAATGTAAATGAATGAATTAATGTTAAATAAATATTAATACATTTAAAACATCATTGCTGAATTACAATAATTCAATAAAGCATTTATCATATTAATATATACATTTAATCATGTTTAATGCATTTTTACTTAATTTTTTGTTTAATTACATTCATCATATTAGTAATGTTAACATTTTAATAAATGTAATACATCCTTGCTGAACTTATCTGGACTGCATTAATTATGTTAATAGATAAATAATAATAATGCATTTATTTGCTTCCAATTTGAATTGCATTAATTAAATTAATTAATAAACAGATAAAGCGAGGCAGTGGCGCAGTAGGTAGTGCTGTCGCCTCACAGCAAGAAGGCCGCTGGTTCGAACCTTCGCGTGGGTTTCCTCCGGGTACTCCGGTTTCCCCCACAGTCCAAAGACATGCGGTAAAAGTGAAATGGGTAAGCTAAATTGTCGATAGTGTATGAGTGTAGTGTATGAGTGTGTGTGTGAATGTTTGTGTGGATGTTTCCCAGAGATGGGTTGCGGCTGGAAGGGCATCCGCTGCGTAAAAACTTGCTGGATAAGTTGGCGGTTCATTCTGCTATGGCGACCCCGGATTAATAAAGGGACTAAGCCGACAAGAAAATGAATGAATGAATGAATGAATGAATAAACAGATAATAAATAAACATTAATAAACGTAATGTATCATAGCTGAATTATGAAAGTTTGAATTACATTAATTTTATTAATAACATTGCTGGATTTTAGGAATTTGAAGTGTATTAATTATATTTAGAAATATTAAATAAATTGATGTTTGTTTATTTATTTCAGTTTTAGCTTTAATTTGCTATAATAACCCTGTCAGTAGCTTTTCTAGGATGTGCACTGTTTATACTGTATACCAGAAAGTTTTGTTTTTGTTTTTTGTTTTTTTCATCATTTTTTTTTGTTTTCCTTCATGCCCAGTTTGTTGATGGAGAGGATTTCGAATGACAGCCGGCACAGTGGTCATCACAGGTGGAATTTTAGCAGCAGTCATCTTGCTGACCATCGTCACAGTTCTATGTTACTGTAGGCTGCAGGTAAACCTCTACTGCTTGATCATTAGTAGAGCTGCTGAAAACACTTTAGCCCAGTTGAATGAAACTATTTGATCAAAACTCTAGGTTGCAGAGTGTGTTTCGGGTTTACAAATCCAAAGAAATTTAAACCAGTTAAGATCAGGTTGTTTTACAATGCTTGATATAAATGTTCTCTGTTAACTTTGGGTTTAACCCAGGATTAGTGATTAACTGAGTGCGCATGAAAGTATTACACATGCAGCCAATCACATGACACATGACTGCAGCAAACAGCCCATCACACAACACATGACAGAGTCAGTTTCAGTCAGTTCTTGTGAGAGAGTCAGCACAATTCTATTCCATGTGGAAGATTAAGAGATATCATCAGAAATATAATATATTTAAACACATAAATAAAATAAACACTGCTGATACAGTGCAAACTTGAGAAGGCAACTTAAAGAACATATCTTTCTATAAATGAAATTTATTTGAATAATGTAGGATCACAAACAGCTCAAACAATGTATTAGCAAAGGTTTCGACTCAAAAATGCTTTAAAAAAAACCTCTAATTTGGAGCAAAAATTACACACAGGGAATGGAATAGGGCTGCACAATATATTGCTGAATTATCATTATCACTATAATAGTATATGCAATGTACGTGTCGCAGAGATGTGTGATAAATGACACTTACAGTATTTAATGCAATGTTTATCTAAATGTGACCAATAAGATGCTACCTTACTATCTTTAGCCCCACCTCTCAAGTAGTTGCTGTTCTGCTATTGGCTGGAGCAGCCCGAAGGTGAAACCACAGCTGAAAATAAACACTGGTGACAGTCGAGACGAGAGAGGAAAATAACAACAGCCAATCAGAGTCAGAATATCTGCTGAGGTTTTTACTAGGGATGCAACGATTAACCGTTTTCACTATTAACCGCGATTTAATTTGTCACGGTTAATTAATCGTGAAGTATTCTCAACACCGTGTTTCTGCATGGAACCAAACTGCTGCAACTTATAGTGATGCCAACTGAGTGCTTGTTTGAAGTTCCGAGCTTGTACTGTACACCATGCACACTAGATTAACTATGGCTGAGGCTATTAACTAAGGGCTTGTCACATATCGCATCTTTTGCATGCGCAAGGTGGTTATTTCCAATGGAGGTCCGCGGCTTGCATAGATGGAGCGCCAAACTTGTGCATTCCAGATGCACCTAATAGTTAAAAAAGAATGCCGCGAGCGCCCTACACTGAGAAAAAATGCAAAATAAAAAATACAAAATTAAAAATACCAAACAATTTTGTTATAAAGTTGATCAAAAGGTTCAGCAGCCCTTGAATACATTTCTTCACTGTAAAAGGGAAATACTTAGCTATTATGTAACTTACATTTATATTAGACAAATACTATTTATTTATTCATTTATTTATTGATTTTTAATTTTATTGATTTATTTTAATTAAAAAAATATTTTACATTTATTAATTTATTGTAAAATCATTTATTTTATGAAATACATTTTTTTTTCATTTATTTTTATTTATTTACATTTAATTTATTTATTTTAAATTATTAAAATTTGTATTCATTTATTACAATTTTATTTATTTATGATAATTATTTTTATTTTATTTATTTTAAATTAATTATTTTTTATTTATTTTAAATTTATTTATTTACATTTTAGTTACTGACATTTATTTTCAGTGTAAAATTATTGGGAGTCTTTATGTGATTTTTCAAAACTAGCAGAGTTTTGAAATTAAGGAATGCATAATAATCGTGATAACCGTGATTTTTCCTCAGACTATAATCGCACAATCAAAATCTATAATCGTTGCATCCTTAGTTTTCACTCATTCATAGTGCTTTAAAGACTAAATGTTTGCACCTTAAAAAAAACAGAAGCCAAAAAATAAAATAAATAATTAAATAACAGGGTGAGAATGTGGTAAAATCAGGCAAGGGCTTTTCTTTTTCTGGATTGCTTTTAAAAACTGTCAGTTGGGTTTAGGGAAGTGCGTAGGTGGGTCAGTCGGGACTTTTAAAAATACTATTGGTTGGGTTTAGGGAGGGAGGAGGGTGGGTCAGTCGATCGGTCAATCAATCAGTCAGTCGACAGCAGAGAACAGCAGCACGAGTAGCATTTGCAAGAAAAATTTGAGATTTCAAAAACCATACACATCGGCCTCTAGTGGCGCTCTCCAGAAATGTACATTTTCAGATTGAGCCTGGGTTGGTATTTTGATTACACTACAACATCGATGCTGTAAAAGGAACCTTGTGAAATTAAAAACAGTCACATTAACCTTTCACCGGAAGTTTATCCTCGGCTGAAAAACACTAGCTGAGCATATAGCCCATTGGCCTTATGCAGCAGACCTCGAGTCACATAAGATTTACCACCTACTTAATAATAAAAAAAATGTCCAAACTCCCCATTTTCTCTCATCTTCCATAACAATTGTGCCCTGTTGTCACTCTGCATATTAGTACTACTGCTGTAGAAGAGACGAGTTGGAGGAGGAGGAGGATGAGGAGGAGGCCAACATTGCCAAGTCATCTCCAACTCCGCTGCGCCACCTGAGTCTACCAGAGAGTCCACTGAGTCTCCAACACTTCCCCGAATACGCCTCTTCCAGTCAGCTGCTCATGACTGCAGAGCCCTTTGAGGCCAACGGACCGCTCAGCTTTCCTCCATACAACCCCAGAACGCCCTACAAGACGCCCCGCTCCTACACGTTCTGTCCGTCCTGCTCGGGGTACCTGCCGCTTTACATGAGCCCGCAGGAGAGTCTGCGAAACGGAGGAGGCCGGATCAGCTACAGGACTCTGCAGCAGGAGGAGCTGGAGCTGCCCATGGACACGCCGAGCCTCCACAAACTCAACCTGCTCCGCTCGCTCACCATGCAGGAGGTGTTGACCCCTCACAGCGTCAGCACAGATGTGTAGCCGCTTCAGGGTTGTGTGCTTCACATTCGTTAGGCTGCTTTGTTTTATTACATCCAACACATCCACTCGCTTGACCTGTCAGGCAGGTATTCATGTACTACACCAGGGGTGCTCAACCCTGTTCCTGGAGATCTACCCTGAACAAACACAACTAAACCAACGAAGTAGGATCTGAATTCTGAGTAATTGAAGATTAATTCGAGTAATTGAAGAACGGCGTGTTTGCTCAAGGTTGAAGCTGAACTCTGAAGGAAGGTAGATCTCCAGGAACAGGGTTGAACACCCCTGTATTGTTTGAACACCCATTTTGGTCTTTGATTCTTATTGGTTGATTCATGTTCAAAGCTGTTTTAAACACTCTACAAGCACCTATGTAAACCAGTTCCTTGGCAACTATCTGATTAGCAGCACTGAGCCAAAGAAATGGTTTGATTTGCTTTGTTTTAGATTGTGATATAGTTATTTTATAAAAGCAATAAATCCTATGATGGGCGGCGCGGTGGTGCAGTGGGTAGCACCATTGCCTCACAACAAGAAGGTTGCCGGTTCGAGCCTCGGCTGGGTCAGTTGACATTTCTGTGTGGAGTTCGGGTGCTCTGGTTTCTCCCACAAGTCCAAAGACATCCGCTGTAGGTGAATTGGGTAGGCTAAATTGTGTGTATGTGTGTGAATGAGAGTCTATGGGTGTTTCCGAGTGATGGGTTGCAGCTTGAAGGGCATCCGCTGCGTAAAATATTTGCTGGATAAAGCTGCGGCAAAGAGCTTAGAATGACCAAAAGGCGACACTCTAGTGTAATTTGGAAAACAGCCACTAGAGGGTGCGGCGGCCATTTTGGAATGAAAACTCCAATAGAACAACAGCATATTATAAGTCTGTAAAATAAACTATTAAAAGTGCTAATGATTGTGATAGTAAGTGTTGTATTGTTGTCTTTCAGGTTGTATCTCAGCTTTAATACGCTTTTTAAATAAATAAATGAAAAACAAAGCAGCTGCTTGCCATCGCAAAAGTAATGAGATCCAATGGACGGCCGAATACTTTCACTCCAAAATGGCGGAATCCAGGGTTGTTGCTGGGCGCTGCTGTTGCAAGGGAACGTTCTATTGAGTGTCACCTCTTGGTCATTCTAAGCTCTTTGGCTGCGGTCACACTAGAGTTTGTGTGTGCGAAGTTCTGTCGTATGGCGCTGCGAAAAGGGGCGGGATTAAACAAGCTTGTTAGACATTTTAAAAAGCGAGCGATTGCTCCATGTTTTAAATTTCTGTCCAGAGATGTCATGTTTTGATCCTCGATTGGTCTCACACAGTCAGGTGATGCCAAGCTTTAACTTTGCACCGCAGCAACCTGCGAAACTTGACGCATGACCCCACGTTTCCGGTCTGACGCATTCGCGTGCTTATAAATGGAAGTCTATGGGAGGAAAAGCCCGGTGTAACCGCAGCTTAAGTTGGCTGTTCATTCCAGTGTGGCGACCCCTGAGTAATAAAGGGAGTAAGCCGAAAAGAAAAAGAATGAATCAATTATGAATAAATCTCAGGATTTACCGGAAATTTATTATGAACAAGAGGGTATAAACAACAGCACTTAGCCGCTTTAATTTAAACGTAAACCACAACCTCTTATGACTTACTGATTTATTAGCACAGTTACATCCAACACATTTAACTCAGAGGTGTCATCACTCAGTCCTGGAGGGCCGGTGTCCTGGAGAGTTTAGCTCCAACCCTAATCAAACACACCTGACCCAACAAATCAAGCTCTTATTAAATATACGAGAAACCTCCGGCAGGTGTGTTGAAGCAAGTTGGAGCTGAACATAGCAGGACACCGGCCCTCCAGGACCGAGCTTGGACACGCCTGATCTATCTAAGCCAAAGAAACTGACTTTGTTTTAGTTTGTGATATAACAGTTTTATGAAAGCAATAACCCCTGTGAAGCTGTGGTTTACTCTAAATTTTAAATGGCCGGGAGCAGGGACGCCGCTAGGGTTAGGATGATTCTAAGGGCCTATACATTTAGAGGAGCCCCAGAGACATTATCAAGGGCCCGCAATAACACAGCCTCTTATCCCTTACTGCTACTACTATGTACTACATGCTCAGAAAAATAAGGTACAAAACTTTACCTTTTAAGGTACAAACAGAAATCACTGAAGGGTGCCATTTTGTACCTTTAGTTATTGTTTGTTATACCTCATTTTGGGTACAAAACTTTATCCTAATGACCTATAGTGGACCTTTAGGCCTCATTTCCGTTGAGCGCCATGGTTCAGTATGGGGTCACCAATTTAATGCCGAGTTCAGACTGCATGATTTTCAAAGTTGTCGTGTCACAGATGTTTTCACACTGCATGACTATCTGGGCTAGCGTTTAGTCGCTGCTTTGTTTACACTGCAAGATGGATCGGCGACAGGGACTTTCACATTGCATGACTTTACTATTGGAAGAATCGCCGACAACTTCGTCCAAACTACGTCTCACAGTCAAAAACATGTCGTATATCTTTTGTTATTAACTACATAATGGGAAAGAAGCCTTTAATGGGGTAGAACATGTACATGTTTACTCACCTGGGTTTAAAGGGAATTAGCCATTTCTCCCCAACGTTGATAATAAACTAATTTCTTTCTGTATGAAACGTCAAACAGACACGGTTGTTCCTGAGTCCTGTCAAACCTCCACTAGTTTTTCCTCCATTTCGTGGGTCCAAATAAACCGAAAAAGAGCGCTTTTAACTTCTCCCCCAGCCTCCCGCTGGCCTGCAGCAGGTATACACACACGCACACACAAGTGAAAGCTGCGTTCTCATTGTCTGTAGGCGATCGCTGATGTTATTTTCAGTCAAAACTCAATTCACACGGCATGATTTGAATCGCCGACAGCTCCAGATATTCAGCATGCCAAATATCTCACAGGCATCGGCGACTCATCGGTGATTCTCTCAGATCGCGTCTTTGAAAGTTCATACTGTATGATTGTCAGTCACGTGCATGAGCAGCAATTTGCCTGTGATTTCAGCCATTTGTCGGCGATTTCTCAAAACCTGTCGGCGAGCCAAAATCGGGGCTAAAATCACGCAGTCTGAACTAGGCATAAGCTGTATGGGTTGATCACATATCACATCTTTTGTGAACTTGAATTTATCGGCAAGTGCCCATAAATAGAGAGAGAAAGAGGCACCACTCACACTTTCCACACACTTTTAGGGATGCTTTCACAATAGCACTTTTGGCCCACACCCAGGTTTGTTTGATGTAAAGTACGATACGTTTAGCTAGTGTGAACGATATTGTTGGTTCGCGCGTACTCTGGTTCGGTTCACTTCTCATTTGAATGCAATCGTACCAAATAACGTTTGGTTCTATTTTGGTGCCTTGGCTTTCACAACAGCAACAGCAGCTTGATGATGCTAGCATACCGGGGTTCAGAAGGAAAAAAATATGGTGTGTACACAAGCCAGCCGAAAAGTTGGCAAGGGGGGACAATCGAACTTGGGTTCCAGACAGTTGAACCAAGTGTGAAAGCACCCTTGACACAGTGGCTCAATGCTTAGTACTGTCGCCTCTCAGCAAGAAGTCCCGACAGGACCAGTTTCCCCATGTTGGAGTGGGTTTCCTCTGGGTGCTCCGGTTTCCCCCACAGTCCAAAGACACGCGCTATAGGTGAATTGAATAAACTAAATTGGCCGTAGTGTATGTGTGTGAATGAGTTTGTATGGGTGTTTGCAAGTACTGGGTTGCAGCTAGAAGGGCATCCATTGTGTAAAATATATGCTGTATAAATTGGCGGTTCATTCTGCTGTGGTGACCCTTAATGAATAAAGAGACTATTCCAAAGAAAAATGAATGATCGAACATTAAAGGCATAGTAAACCCAAAAATGAACTATCTGTATTTAAATTATTGGATGTAACTGTCGCTTTATGATTGTTCTTTAATCCTAAAATGCAATGTGTGACTCAAAATAAAAAAAAATATTTTGTAAACGTGTGAAAACTTCATACATTCATTCATTTTGTTTTCGGCTAAGTCCTTTTAGTAATTCGGGGTTGTCACATCGGAATAAACCGCCAACTTATCCAGCACGTTTTTATGCTGCAGATGCCCTTCCAGCCACAACCCATCTCTGGGAAACATCCGTGTGTGAAAAGTCAATACGGGAAATTATTTCATATGAGGATATTAAACAGAGTCTGATTTTTCAATACTTTTATTTAAGAAATTCATACTTTAATTAAACTAATAGGGCTTTTTAAATGGCATGAGAACTCAATATTTGAATATTTCACATCTGTTTTCACATGTATTTACTGCTGTAGCGAAGAATAGATTACTACAATATTCATTATTTTGGTTTAGATTTGAATATAAATGCCGTGGATGTACAGTATGTTTAGGAAGTCAAATGATATCACCGACTCAAGTGGTTTTTACACGTGGGATTGTGAATTTGTGTGTCTGCTTGTATGATGAATTGAACTGGCAGGTTTTTATAATCCTCTGTGTTCTCATCCTTGTGTGTACAGCCACAATTTGTCCAAAACTCACCAGAGTATCTGTCTGTTATAAACGCAATACTTGTTGATATTATTATGTACCGTGTGGGGGTTTAATGAGCATATTTTGAGCTCTTGTGTTATGAATGAAAATATTTCACTGCACTGTTTGCTGACCAGCAGGTGGCGTCAGTTCATGTGCAGAAAAAAAGGTCTATCCATACGTTGATCCATTAAAAGCATTAAACTAGAGACGAAGTGTGTCTGTGCTAATAGCGTGCTAATCTCAATGCTAAAGCTAACAGGCTTTCTGCAGCTTAAATCGATTAAGTCATGATGTAAAATGTATTTAAAAATTCTGAATGTTGAAAACAGGTCTCACATTGGGTAAAGTCTTTACTTAAATGACTCAAATATAGTTAAAATATAATGTAAACACTATATGGACATCACGTCTTGTCGCCTATCCAAGTTTTAGAAACAACAAATAATAACTTGACTTCTAGTTGATCATTTGGTATCAGAAGTGGCTTACATGAAAGGCAAAGGCCTCTAGATTACGATTATTTTACCAAAAAAATATATGATTATGCCTTTATTTTTAATTATTAAATTAGTAAAGTCTTGTCAGTTAACAGAAACAATGTACAGTATAGAATATAAAGTCGTGATGCAGTGGAAAAAGAATGAATATATGACTCCTATGAGGACTGCATCCATACATCTCTGCAATGACTCAAATCACTTATTAATAAAGTCATCTGAAATGGCAAAGAAAGCGTTCCTGCAAGACTCACGGAGTTCATCAAGATTCTTTGGATTCATCTTCAATGCCTCCTGCTTCATCTTACCCCAAACATGCTCAATAATGTTCATATCTGGTGCCTGAGCAGGCCAATCCTAGAGCAACCAAAAAAAGTAGAAAAATAAAAACACGAAATTCATTTGGAGTATGCTATTTATTGTTCATAATATTTTGAGGTACGCCAACGTTTTTTTATACATCAAGAATATCAAACGACTTACATCTGATTGCTTTTTGTACTTGAGGTAAGGTAGTACAATAGGTTTAAGGTGTATATGAATCAGATACATTTTCAACCATAGCATGTTCAAGTGTCAGGACTCGCTCAACGACAAAGAAAAAAATCTGATTCATTGTCGATTCAAATAAAAAAATGATACACAAATGAATAAATTGGATGGATATAGAATGAGAGAAGCCAATAAAACTACTGCTGTAACCAATAAATTAACATAAGCCCATGTCTAGCAAGAGTTAAGACAAGACACTGATGGTGAATAGAATAAAAAAAAAAAAATCATCATAACTATAATCCTGTAGTTGATTGGTTACTTTAAAAATTGCAAAAATGTTACGTTTAAGTATGAAATTATTAAATGGAATGAAATCATTATTGAATGAAATATGCATTCATCTGCTCACACATTTAGGCCAAAAATCTAAGAACTAAATGAAGTCTTGTTTAATTAATCAATTCATTTATTTATTTATGTATGTATTTATTTATTTTTATATATGGACCACAAAACATATGTTGCACAGGTGGGTATATTTGTAAGAATAGCCAACAATACACTGAGTCAAAATTATTGATTTTTTTTTATGCCAAAAATTGTGTAAAAAAATCATGTTTTTCCATGAAAACATTTTGTAAATTTACTACGGTAAATATATCAAATCATGATTTTAGATTAGTAATATGCATTGCTAACAGCTTTATTCATTATATATTGAATGCTCACATTTCAGATTTGGAAGTAATTCAGAATTGTATCTTAGTCAGATATTGTCCTATCCCAATACGTTTTTATTTTTTATTATTTTTTTTAACTGACCTTTATTACAGTATTTATGACACAGAATGACAAGAATTAAATGTTTTTACAGAGAGGATTTGATCTGAAGTTTGATGTTTAGAAGTGTTTCTGAAGTGGGGATTTATGGCTCAGTGCAGAAGAAAACACTCATCAAAAAAGAAAAACAGCCTTTAAAATCACGAATTGTAATTGAAATCAACATAATGCTATTGTAAACAGAAGCTTGTATCGCTTGCCCTCCCTCAGAGTTCTTCTGATTGGTCTACTGCTTTGAAACTGACATTAAAGGAGCAACATGTGAGTTTGACACCCAGTATTTGAATAGGTATTGCATTCCTGGATCAAAACAAACGCAAGCGCAGGTTGCCAGATTGGCGACACTAACAGAAGTGTGCCTGACTATCAAGCTTAACGGCTGATTTAAGTCGTGTTCTAAATAAAAGCAACTGCATGCAATAGAAGGAATATTTTCCATATTAAAAGGAGTTTTTTGCTCTAACCAGCAGCTTGATTTGATATATTATAAAAGGCTTCTATTTCTCACAGGTGAACAACAGAATAAACAGATCACCTCAGGTACACCTCGATAATTAGACATTTAAAAAAAGTGAGAGATTAGCCCATATTTTAAATTTCTGTCCAGAGAGGTCATGTTTTGATCCTCAATTGTTCTCAGGCAGGCAAGCAAAGCGATATCGCAATAGTTCACCAAGCTTGATATTTGCAATGCAACAAACTGTGAAACTTGTCGCACAAGCATGCGTTTCCGGTCTAACCAAAGTGGCGAACCAAAGTGGCGATCTGATTAGTGGAGAAGGTTTTGAAGCGGTGCGTTCAAACAAAAAAAAAACAACAAGAAAACAAACAAAAAAAAAAAACAAGCATGAGGCGTTTTTTTTTTTAAATGACGCTTTTGCGTCTGGAGTTTTGCGCATTGATGTGCACGATCACATTAACGGCCTTTATTTAGTTACGAAGCGTTAAACGTCGACGGAAAAAGCGAGCAAAAAACATTTTGGTGTGCTCGGGCCTTAATGCTTACTTTCGTAATATTTATTTTCTAATTAATAACCTCATGTGGAACTCTATCTGTGTCTTATTTCGGAGTTTGCTACTGTCCACCAGAGGTCGCATTTTGGTCACGGACACAAGCTTTGAGAGTCTTCCTGACTGAATGAATGAAACATGATTTTCCAGCTGATCTCACGAGAAAACGTAAGTATTTTACGTTTTGCCAGTTTAGTGGCTAATTCGTATGAATTTCGTACGAGTTCAGTCGTACGAAATTGTACGATTTTAAAAAGGAGGCGTGGCACCTAACCCCACCCCTAAACCCAACCGTCATTGGGGGATGAGCAAATTGTACTAAAATGTACGAATTCGTACGAATTAGCAACTAAATAAAAAAGTTACGAATTGTCGTGAGATTGTGTTGGGTTTTCCAGCAAGGCAACCAAGGGTGCTGAATTATAATTGGGTAAGCTGGCATTGGACAGGTTAAAAACTCCATAAACAAGATAGCGTTCCGACACGGAAAACACATGTTCAAAGCAGAATATCTGACTTCAACACTGTTTTTCAAATAAACAAGTATGATCACTTGGCATGTTTCTTAAACATCTGTAAACATATAAAGGTATTTTTATGCTTTAGAAGAGTCAAGAACATACAGCAATTTTAAAGAGTGGCGCTGCATGTAAAAATATGGCGCTCATGTGCAACATGCTACAAAAGAACCACAAGTCATTGAGTCTTTTATTTCAGTGTGCTGATGTACTTCTAACTGAACTGAAATATTAAGAAGGATCATTTTGTGGATCATTCTCATAGCAAACTAATGGTAAGAGGGGCGTGGTTAAAAATACTGTTGCTGAATCTGTCAGACTGACATCAACAGAAAAAAAACGCCGCCATTCCAAACACGGAAGCAAATGGTCAGAATTTGATTGAAGATTACTAAAACAAACATCTTTTTTAACTGGATTAACATTCACGAATTTATTGATCACCAGAAGAATAACAATGTGAGCAAGCATAATAAACATTGCAAATTTTGATTTCACTCATACTTGAACATTCATGCATGTCCTTCAAGCACTTGTTTACATGGGAAAACAATGGAAAATTGCAATGAAATGGAAAAATATGTTCTGTGTGAATGGCCCCAAGTGTACTTTAAATGTGAAAGTCACATTAAGAAAAGCCAAAAAACTCAAGTTTGATGCAAGGTGCATTAAAAAAACTGTGTTTTCGCCAGCAGTGTCTCGCCTTAAAATGAATGAAAGAGCAGAGGAGAGAGCGTGAGAAGCAGCAGTGGCCCGAGGCTCAGCCTGTGTTTGGATGTAAAGTACTAAAATCTTCAGCCAGAGGTAAAATTCAGTATACAGCAGAAGTCAAAACGATTAGCCCTCCTGTGAATCTTTACTTCTTTTTTAAATATTTCCTAAATTGTGTTGAACAGAGCAAGGAATTTTTCGCAGTATTTCCTATAATATTTTTTCTTTTGGAGAAAGTCTGATTTATTTTATTTCGGATAGAATAAAAGCACTTTTTAATTATTTTAAAAAGACATTTTACAGTCAATATTATTAGCCCCCTTAAGCAATATTTGTTTTTAATTGTGTACAGAACAATCCATAGTTATACAATGATTTGCGGAATTACCCTAGCTTTCCTAATTAACCTTTAAATGTCCATTTAAGCTAAATACTAGTGTCTTAAAAATATCTAGTAGTCAAATATTATGTGCTGTCATCATGGCAAACATAAAAGAAATCCGTTGTTAGAAATGAGTTATTAAAATTATTATGTTTAGAAATGCGCTGAAAAAACGTTTATATCCGTTAAACGGAAATCAGGGGAAAAATATACAGGAGGGCTAACAATTCTGACTTTAACTGTACATTCAGTATATCCACCTCTGCCACTGCCAGATAATAAAAGTCCCATAAAACCTGACTTGTAATAATAAATACTTTTATGACATGCAATATAATCCTCTGAGCAATAATCAAATAATTTAATATTTCCTTACTGTATCCCACAAAGGCGGGACATTGTCGTGAAGTAGGCATCGTTTTAGTAATGAGAAAGTTTGAATAGAAACAAATACTGATTCAGAATTCTCTCACTGCGATCCTCATCCTCATGATGATGATGATATTAGGAGAGAAGAGTTAGGAAGATCGAAGGTTTCGGCAGGAATGGCAACAGGCCTTGCTGTAGTACCAGTGAGAGCAGAGGTTCACCTTGAGAGCCAGAGAGCAGTTGGTGGTGGGACGATCCTGGCAGTTTTCATCTGGAGATGCAATAATGCAGTTACACTTCATGTTAGCTTTCGGGATTTCTTTGGACATCATACAGAATATAGCAATTGTTTCAATGTGGTGATGTCACTGGCCAATGAACATTTCCTGCTTATTATCAAACTATTTCATAACTGTAACAAGAGGCAATTCAATCATTACTTGATGTTAAAACAGCTAACATAACGTTATTTATCAAAATGTGTCTCTTTTTGCATTCTCGGAAGCGATAGAAATTAAAAATGTAAAACAGGAAAGGAGTTAGGACCATTGTTTTGTTTACATCCCTCAAAATGGTCTATAAAGCATATATTTAGCCATTATAATATGCACTGTTCCAGTCAGAAGATGCATTTAAAAATAGGTGTTTGATCATTTAAGGGGACTAATTATGCCACTTTTTTCGAGATGTAAAATACATCACATACAACCTCTAGGTACATCAGAGATGTTTCAGCTCAAAATACCCCACAAATAATGCTCTAAACCTTTTTGAAACTTTGGCTTTGATCCTAATTGCGCCATTTTGGTGACTTGCTTTAAATTCAAATGAGACTGTGCTCTTTTTAAAAGAGGGTGGAGCTACAATGCCTATGTGCAGGGGCGGACTGGGACAAGAATTCAGCCCTGGCACTGTAGCCACACAAATGACCACACCGACACAAATTACCACACCGACACAGCCCCACCCACGGACACGCACATTCACTATTATTATGGTGTACAGATGGTGAAATAATACGACTTTCTTGCTAGATTTTGATTATGTCCAGGTAACCTCGGATTGAGTCGGCCCATCTTGAAACCAGGCGGCAATTGCCGATTGGGCTAAATGCTTAACATTTATTATTATTATTATTATTATTATTTTATTATCATCATCATAATAACATCTAGCAAGAGATAAAAGCTGTCTGCACTTAAAAACAATACATATTAAAAAATAAATAAAAATAAAAAATGACCAGCCCACATTTAAAATTGGTCCGGCCCTTCTGGCATTTGCCAGAATTGCCAGATGGCCAGTCCGCCCCTGCCTATGTGTCAGCAAGGCATGGGGCGATAACCGTTTTCAAGGTATACAGCAGTTTGGAAATTCAAGGTTTTAAAACCGTCAAAATTTTCTGCTATACCATTCCTAAGGTATGAGTAAGATTTTTTATTTACATTTTTTTAGGGCAGCAATATCTCCAACAGAAAATATATCCAAAGATGTCCTTTTAAATTGTGAACAAAAATCTGTGTTTATGAAATATTGAATTATTTAGCCTGACTTGTTTACTGTTCCAAAATATCATAAATGTTTCCCAAATAAAAATATATTGTGTACAAAAGGGAAAAAGGTTTTGTTTTATGAAATTTAAAAAGAATATATTTCACAGCAGTAATTACGATACCGTGAAACTGTGATATTTATATCCAAGGTTATCATGCCGTCAGAATCTTACTGGCAGATTCAAAAGCAACACTGATGTCGTATGCTAATGAGGGAGATGGTCACTAATGGGTGGGGCTTTCCCCCTCTGATGACAGTACAAAAGGAGAATGTCAAAGGCTGCGTCCGAAACCGCATACTTCCATACTATATAGTACGCTAAAATCAGTATGCGAGCAGAGTAGTATGTCTGAATTCATAGAATTCGAAAATCAGTAAGTGAGAAGTATTCGGATGTATTACTACTTCCGGCGAGATTCTGGAGTGCGCATCCCACGCACGCTGCGCTATCCGATGATGCCCCGCGAGAGAATTCATGAATGGAAGTGCAGTGATGCAACTGACGCAGGTAGGTCACGTGACCATGACGAAATGGCGAATGTAGTACGTCCGAATTTCATTAATACTTTTCACATTCATACTGTATAGAACATACTTTTCTGACGACCAAGTAGCACGTTTAAATTCAAATACAGTTCCTACTGAGTAGCCAAAGTGTTTCTACGGATAGTTTTTGTTATCATTTGTTAATTATTAATTAATACATTTTTTACAATTAGTACCATTGGTTATATTCACAGACTTTTGCCACACAACTGTGTTTCAATATCTTAAATTAATAATTTTTTTCTCACCAACATTTTTCAAAATATCTTCTTATGTGTTGATTTGTTGCTAAAATATGGAATCAGTTTAGTCTCAAAAGAAATTTGCATTTGTGAAACGTATTTTATGAAAATGTATTTTTATTTTGAGCACGTGAACATTTTTTGTGATTATAAATAAATATTTTACGCACGTGAATTTGATTTTATGCACGTGAATTTGGCTACGCATGTGTACATCGTGTCTTTTGCATGAATTTCTTTTGAGACTAAACTGATTCCATACTAAACTGTTCCTGCATAGAGAGCATAGAGAAGTAAAGCAACCTGGAGGTTCGGTGGGGCAGGGCTGCAGTGCACAGGTCTGCTTGTTAACAGGTTTGGTCAAAGGGTCGCATCCACGAACAAGCTCTCGTCCCTGATAACACTTCACATCCCTCATGCGCACACCCACACCACACGTCTTGGTGCACTGAAAAACAGTTGATTTCAAGCAAAGAAGAAAAATATGTAAACAGTTATTGGCACATTTATTGTGTTATGTTATACACGCAAAGCACTTCACAATCATGAGGGGGGTCTCTCCACACCACCACTAGTGTGAAGCATCCACTTGGATGATGCGACAGCAGCCACAGGTCAATAGAGGGATTTGGCCTGGACTCCGGAGTTACACCATTAACCTTTATGAGAAGTGCCATGGGATTTTAAATGACCACAGAGAGTGAGGACCTTGGTTAAACATCTCTACCGAAAGACGGCGTCCACTAACCATTTGGTGTCCCCTTCACTTTCTACTAGGGCACACAGACCGCAGGTTGAGCGCCCCCTGCTGGCCTCACTAACACCACTTCCAGCAGCAACCTAGTTTTCCTATGTGGTCTCCCATCCAGGTACTGACAAGAATCAGCCCTGCTTAGCTTCAGTGTGTTGGGCTGCAGGGTGATATGACTGTGGCAAAAGAAGATAGTTTGAAGAATGTTGGAAACCGGTAACTATTGACTTCCATAGTATTTGTTTTTTCTACTATGGATGTCAATGGTTACGGGTTTCCAACATTCTTTAAAAACCATGTTAAATGTAACTAAAAATACCCACTGGTTGCAATATCAAAAATAGTCATTTCTGGTTGAACTATCCCTTTAAGGAAAGGCAAAAATGTTGTTATTTTCACCCACTTATAAATTTTGAGTTTTTTTCTTTGCATAAACAACTTTTTAGTCAGTCTAATGAAAAGAAAACATCCAAAATACACTTTTAAGTGCTTCATTTTTCACATTTTATCAATTTGTCTTTGTAGGTTTCAATTACAATTCATATTTTCAAAGGCTGTTTACTCAAAATGACAAATCGTCACATTAGTTATAAAGTTCCATCTGACATTTTTGTCAAAATTGAGTTATTGACATATTCTTATTTAATGACAACTTATTTACATTATGGGATGTTTTATATAAGTTTACATTTTAGGACTTTTTATTTAAAAAAAACAAATGTTTCACACATAGGGCCCTATCATACACCCGGCGCAGTGAGGCGCAAGGCATGGCGCAGTCTTTTGGTAGTTTCAGCTTGGCGCAAGAGTGGTTTTGAGGCGTTGCGCTACGCTGTTTTAAAAAGCAAATGCATTAGCGCTCATTTGTGCGCCCATAGGAGTTCTGGTCTAAAAAGGAAGGCGTTCTGAGGTGGACTGCTGGCACGTTGCTATTTTGAGAAACTATAATAGATTTTTCATTAGACCAAAACTAACCCGTTCTAAACTCCAGCGCAGAGTTGCGCCTCGCTTACACACTGCTTAATACACACAAGAGAGCAATAGGCAAATATCTTTACATATGAAAAAATTTAAATATTAAGGATGTATAAAGGATATAATAAGAATATAAATAGAATATAAATATAAAGGATTAAAATATTACAAAACATATTATTTTCTAGCCTACATAAATATGAAAAATCACTGCTTTTATGTCTTCTTCATCTCGGGAGGCTTTTTCAGTTTATTCATAAACAATTTGCTTTTGTATAATGTTATTATTATTAGCAGTATTATTTATTATATCCATATTTATATTTGTTTTATTAAAAACAAGCTTAGATTTGCCCACCTGTCAGGTTTTAGACCATATGGGGCACAGCATGTGTTTTAGGATATAACTCAGGTTTTTGAGCACATTTGTTATTATTATTATTATTCATTTATTCGTTTGCTGGAAATTAGAACTGAATTTAGAAATAGTTTTGAAACGAATATTTGCGCTTAACAAACAAAAGTATTTATTTATAAATCTCCATTTTAGCAGCTTTACATACACAAAACTTTACAGTTTAACTCGCTTCTAATTATCTAAAAGGGTTTTTACACAGGCTTTTGTCCATACATAGTTTAAAAATTTGCATATAAAATTTTTATTTTTATTTTGCATTATCATTTTGAACTTTGCATCTAAAAATGTTCTGATTTTGTACAAGAAAATCACCAACTTAATCAAGTTATGTCTCATTTACATATTTAAAACCCTGTCAAAGAATGTTTACTATTCTTAATATAATCAATCAATCAGCCTAGTTTTATTCATCAGGGGTCACCAGTGGAATGAACCGCCAACTTATCCAGCATATGTTTTACACAGCGGATGTCCTTCCAGCTGCAACCCAGTATTGGGAAACATCCATACACACATGCACTACAGCCAATTTAGTTTATTCAGTTCACCTGTACCGCATGTCTTTGGACCGTGGGGGAAACCAAAGAACCAGGAGGAAACAAACACCAACACGTGGAGAACATGCACACTCTACACAGAAACACCAACTGGCCTAGCCACGACTCAAACCAGTGACCTTCTTGCTGTGAGGCGACAGCACTAACCACTGAGCCACAGTGTCGCCTGCATTAATTAATACATTTTTACCATAATCACCTGCAGTGTTTGGTCTTTAAACCTACAGTGGATTCACATGACCAAAATATGAGTGGTGAAGGAAGAACATCAGAACCCAGAAAGTCATTCGCCATTGATTCCCTCAGCATCACATTCTTAGTTTTGCCACTCGTTCTCCCCGGGTGAGTCTGCAATCCTCCAAGCACAAGCTATGTTTTGGGCTTTTGGCCTTAATATTTTATTAACGCAGACTAGCACATAATGCCTGGCAGCATGCAGTCAAACATGGTAGAATCAACTGGAAATGACCTCATACAGATGTATTCTGAGCAGATGTGCAGTTGAGCCCTCGAGCTTACAACGTCCTAGCAATCTGATACTGCTTGTGATTGTGATTTGTATTTCAATCCACCATCAAACCCAACAAGCATTTTTGGTTTTTAATAGATGTCTAATAGACGTCTAAACTTAGTTGTCTTGGCGTAAACAAGGCTAACATTGGCTTGTCAGTGAAAATCTAATAGACGTCTAAGAACAAGCCAAAGGGTGATACAGTGGCGCAGTAGGTAGTGCTGTCGCCTCACAGCAAGAAGGTCGCTGGTTCGAACCTCGGCTCAGTTGGCCTTTCTGTGTGGAGTTTGCATGTTCTCCCTGCATTCGCGTGGGTTTCCTCCATGTGCTCCGGTTTCCCCCACAGTCCAAAGACATGCGGTACAGGTGAATTGGGTAAGCTAAATTGTCCGTAGTGTGTGTGTGTGTGGATGTTTCCCAGAGATGGTTTGCGAAGGGCTGGAAGGGCATCTGCTGCGTAAAAACTTGCTGGATAAGTTGGCGGTTCATTCTGCTGTGGTGACCCCGGATTAATAAAGGGACTAAGCCGACAAGAAAATGAATGAATGGATGAATGAATAAGCCAAAACTAGACTAGTCATCAAATAAACAGAAATGAATGACTACACATATAAAGTCTGTCTAGGCTGTCGATTTCATGATTAGTCTAGTTTTGGGGTATTCTTAGATATCTATTAGATTTTCTCTGACAGCCCAAGTTTAGTCTTGTTTTAGCCAAGCTGTCTACATTTAGATGTTTATTAGATGTCACTAAATAGTTTTTTGGGTACACTGAATAGATATACGGTATGAAAAGTGTTACCTCAGACCACGGCGTTGTGTACCACTTAAAGCAAGGCCTCTCGAAGCAGGTGTCCTCATCCGCTGGCCTCTTGCTGGCGTCACATTCCTCATCCTCATTTATCTGGACCTTCCCACTTGTAATGCTGACACACAGCACTGTCCTTCTCTTCACACCCCGTCCACATGTTGTGTTGCACTAGAAGGCAGAAAAAAGTCTGTTATTCAGTAAAGGGTGACACAGTGGCGCAGTGAGTAGCACAGCAAGAAGGTCGCTGGGTCGCTGGTTCGAACCTCGGCTCAGTTGGCGTTTCTGTGTGGAGTTTGCATGTTCTCCCTGCGTTCGTGTGGGTTTACTCCGGGTACTCCGGTTTCCCCCACAGTCCAAAGATATGCGGTACAGGTAAATTGGGTAGGCTAAATTGTCCATAGTGTATGAGTGTGTGTGTGTATGTGTGGATGTTTCCCAGAGATGGGTTGCGGCTGGAAGGGCATCCGCTGCATAAAAACTTTCTGGATAAGTTGGTGATTCTTTCCGCTGTAGCGACCCCAGATTAATTAAGAGACTAAGTCGACAAGAAAATGAATAAATAAATGTAATTAAGTATTCACCCTCATGATGTTACAAGCCCCTGAGACCTTTGTTTATCTTCAGAAAACCAATTGAGATGTTTTAGATGAAATCCAGGAGCTCTCTCATCCCCCATAGACAGCAAGCATCCCAGCTCAGAAAACGAAAAACTTTGCTTTTCTTCCCATGTTTATTCAGCAAAACGCTATTTTTCCCAGAAGAGTTCCAGGTTTTTTTTTATTGTATTGTTTCTTTATTGTATTGATTTCCAGGGTTTCTTTATTGTATTGTTTCTTTATTGTATTGATTTCCAGGGTTTCTGTATTGTATTGTTTCTTTATTGTATTGATTTCCTGGGTTTCTTTATTGTATTGTTTTCTATTGACTTTTATTGTGTTTTTATTTGAACTGATTCTTCTAGCTGTCTTATACGGTGACCTTGAGTGTCATGAAAGGCGCCTTTAAATAAAATGCATTATTATTTATTATTATTTATGCATATTTCAGCATTTTCATTGGTTTCAGTGAGAGCGCCCTCTAGCCTTCGCAAGAGATTTACTAAAAATCTTGAAAATACGTGCACGAGAATCACTTTGCTCAATCGTGTTTGTGATTCCAATTTGATTAATCGCTAACGGCAAACGAAATCTGCGGACATTTTTTGCTGTTTCTGCGCAGAATTTTGTTAAAAATCTGCAAATTTACACAACTATTTTGGGAGTATCATTACTAAAACCTTAATATATACCTACTAAAACCTACTAAAAGACAGTTCAAGAGTTCACACTTACCTGACAATCAATAAAGCGTATTTGTCATGCTGTCCCTGGAGAGAGCCCTGAGCTCGTAATATCCCCGAGCCTGGGGCTCCCTCCCGTTAGAAGGGCGAGAGGGGAGTTTGAGCTCAGGTAGGTTTCGAGAACTCTCCTGCTTGCCGCTGTGTGAGAAGTGTAAGCTAAGGTTGTCTTAGGTGATAATTTGGTTTAGTCAATTGGCTATGGTTAATGTTTTTGGACGGTGGGAGGAAACCAGGGAACCCGGGGGGAAACCCACGCGAACACGGGGAGAACATGTAAACTCCACACAGAAACACCAACCAGCCCGATAGGAGGTTGGACCAGCGGTGTTCTTGCTGTGAGGCAACAGTGCTAGCCACTGGGCCACCGTGTCGCCCTATCGGAAAAAGAGGGGAAGTAGGGGTGGAAGCGGGGAAACTTCAAGACGAAGATAACTGGAGTGAAAAGCTCTGGTTATTTCTAACGCTTCCATAATCATCTAATAGGGCAGATTACGGAGCTAATGAGGAGCCAGCCGTGTTGATCATAAGCACGTGATCCTCTCGAAATTAGTTTATGAATAAACCACACAATATATATTACTTTACAGACTGTATTGTAAATAAATCATATAAATATGTTCATATTAGTCAATAATGTTACTGATATTAATTTACACACATTTAAACAAGTAAATAAACAGAATCAATGATAGGCTAAAAATCAGCTGAAATCTGTGCGCGCAGATTCCGTGTGGGCCTATTAATCGCCCAACCCCATGTACCCAATGATTTCTGGAGGAATATTAGGAATAATGCAAGAATAATCCTCACCCTCTCCCAGTCCTGGGCCAGCCAGTGTGGAGCACATTCATTGTCTCCGCAGGGGTGAATAGCCAGAGGCTTGTTTTCAGGTGAGCACTGAGACTCGGGTACCACTCGGCCCTCTGCTGTTTTGCAGTACACATGCCTCACCGTTTTTCCATGACCACAGATCCCTGAACACTAAACACAAATAAAAGTAGAACGTTTAAAATACCCATTATGCAAAATTATTCATTACATTATAGCCTTGATGCTTCATGAAATGTAGCTGAAGCTTGTAGATAAAGTGATGTCAATTTGTTATTGTGCATAATTTTGCTACAAAGTAATGACGTGGAAGACCCACCCCCCTTCTCAATATTCTGTTTTCAGTACATCAACATACTAAAATAAAAGTCTCAGCAACTTCTGCTTCTTGTAGACGTCAAAACCAATGTTTAATCTATTAAGCATTTAAAATCCTGATAATATTCCTCATATATCAACATCTTACCGGTCCCCACTCGGATGCTGTCCACTGGCGCTCACATGGAGGGCCTGTGCAATTTTTGGTCGATGGTGGACGAGTTTCCTCATCACACGCATGGGCCTCATCTGAGCATCTGACCTCTCGAGTGACCAGACTCTTGCGACCACATTTAGCTGGACACTGCGCAAACAAACAAGACAAAACTTGGATTTATTCATTACGCAAGACTGACAACACTGTCAAAACATATCCGTTTTAGAATTCAAACAAGAATAAAAGCCTATGGACCTAATTCAACATGTATCTCAGCTTTTCTACTTCTATGAATTCATTTTATTTAGATGATTTTTTAAAGTAATAACAGGATCTATTTTAATAATGTAAGTAAACAGTCTAAAGTGCATGCAGGGCCGGAGCAAGCTGAACTGCCGATCTAGGCAGAAGACGATCACGCCGCCCTCAACCCCAATGTGAAAACGAAAGTGAACGGTTATGAAACTGAAGTGAGGTGTCGCGGACCTCTATTCTGCTGCCCTATGTGCGGATATAACTGAGGACGCATGGGTGCTGAGGGAGGGAAGTGTCGCGGATGCCACCCTCTATTCTGCCGCCCTATGCTCGGATATAACTGAGGACACGTGGGTAATGATGGAGGTGTCGTTGACGCCGACCTCTCTATTCTGTCGCCTATGCGCGAATATATCTGAGGAGGCGGGGGTGAGGGAGGTGTCGCGGACATAACTGAAGACGCGAGTAGTAAGGGAGGTGTCAGGGACGCCGCCCTCTCTATACTGCCGCCCTAGGTGGCCGCCTAGGTCGCCTCTATGGGTGCGCCGGCCCTGAGTGCATGGCAAAGGTATACTTAGAGCAGTGGTTTCAAACTTGATTTCTGGAGGGCCGCAGCTCTGCATAGTTAAGCTCCACCCCTATCCAACTCACACCTGCTTAATAATTTCTAGTAGTCTTGAACACCTTGATTGGTTGGATCAGGTGTGCTTGATTAGGGTTGGAACTAAACTGTGCAGAGCTGCGGCCCTCCAGGAATCAAGTTTAAGACTTATGACTTAGAGCTTGTCTGAATCCCCTTTTGCTATTTTGAAAAATATGAACAAATGGTTTGTGTGCCTGGCACATGGTCTAAAAGGCTAGTCCTTACGTTCTTACTGAGTTATAGGTGTGTTTTAGGCATGGCATGCATGAAACCAATCAGAGTCTCATTTTCCATTCCTTTTTAGAGTTGAAGTCACCCCATGGTCAATGCGCTATTTACATGATTGTAAGTTGGAAAATGGAAGAAAAAAGCATGGGAGGAGGTAGTGGTTTTTTATATTTACGTAGACAGTGATAATTTTTTTGACATTTTAATCCTTTAATTTTTTATATTTAAAGATATCTGTGTGCTGCTGTGCATCCCTGTGTGTGTAATAAGCAACATGTGATTTTTGGACTTGTCTATCATTAACATGAGGTGCATTCGACATGAAACAGTTGCAGCCGGTGATCAACGAGATTAGTCGAGTGCAGGCGGGGGCGGAGTCGAAAACGGAGCCGTCAAGCCGGGCAGCCGGACACTTCGGGGCTCAAAGTTGCTGCAGTCATGATGACCAATCACATGGCTTGATCATTTATTTATTTATAACAACAAAAGATTTATAGTACAAATAAAAGGGAATACTCTACAAACTATTCTTAAACAATATGGGGATTATGATTAACTTATTAGTTTTTACAAATTTAAGTAGATTCAACATAAAACAATAAGTTGTCCTCAAAAAAACTTTACGAATTTTGTCGTTTCAGCCTATTTTATAAAAGTAGTTTGAACAAACAGCAAACGAAATTTTTTAAGTGTACAGTGCACCAGAGAAATCATAGGGCCCTACAAATCTATTTGTTTATTTACAATATTTAATGGTTTTAAAGGGTCACGAAACACCAAAACAATTTTTTTGCGCTGTTGACAGTCATATACGTGTCCCATGCTGTTAAAAACACTATTAGGACACCTATATTTCACAAAAAAAGTGAAAATTGGTTGTTTTTGCATTACTTCGAGCAAATTCGTTCTTCCGGTTTGAAACAAATTTTTGAAGCTGCGTTTGAAGCGCGTTTGAAGCACCGATTAGATCCTTGTGTGTATTCCAGTGTGTAGACTGGCTGTCTGTACCTGGGAGTACTTCGTGACGTCTCTGAGTGTGTTGCATTATTTTATGAGTAAGACTTGGTTCAAACCAATCAGCTCGCTCTATTGTGTATGCGGTGCAACTTCATTAATGTGCATGATAGCTTCGAAGATTTTAAGTTTTTACCTGAAACAGTGTTCAGATGGCAGAGAGACGCCACGTTGTGTTGCAAAACAAGTGGGAGAAGAAGAATTGTTTGGAGATACGGGTCGTCAGTGTTGCATTATTCAAGGTTTTGTTTTCATTTTCCCGCTATGAGAGCGCAGCTGGACTCGCGTGTGGATTACAGAGCATGTGACACGAAACAGAAATACGTTTGTTGGGACCATTTTTTACTTGAAAGCTTTTCGCATCTGGAAATGGTGAATCCGTATTTGCTGTTCGTCTCCTTTTAAAAAAAGATGCGGCTCCAAATGCAGGATTGTCCTGTCTCTATAGATTTGGTAAGTGATCGATCAGTGGTCTTTGTTTGTTTATTCAGATCGCAAAGTTAGTTGGTATCGTCAGCAGTACTCTTTCAGTGTTCAAAGACAGACCTTAGTTACGATGATTTCTAAGTTACTTAGTTTACAGTTTACAGTTTATGTCACTATGATATTATGGACTGAAAGGTCTGCTGTTAATGCTGCTTTCCGAATGTAAACATGTAAACACCGCAATCAAACTATTACCGACTGTCATGTTTAATTTTCGACGGATTTTGTGATAGGACAGTCTATACACTTGGCTTTCTGACCTACCGAGTGCATCTGAGTTACTGAAAAATGCTGAGGTTTTTTCTCTTATACGACGTGCGGTATCAAACATTCCACCGTCATCAAACAGAGTCACTGTCTTTCTCCCCTGTGTGTGGTTTTGTTTTGCCTCAGTGAAAATCAGCGCGTGCCCAAATGGAAACTCCTATTTTTATCCAAATCCTTCCCTCTTTCTCTCCCCCAACACTCCCACCTAAATCGAGCTGGACACACCTACTTTCCTGACTTTTTCTAAACTAGAGGTGTGGAAACACCCTGCTGAAACAGGGGGTATTCATGGTCCTTTAACAACAGATTAACAAAACAAGCTGTTCACTTACCTCAGACCACTCGGCTACCTCCCACTGTGGGCCGCAGGTGGGGCTCTTGCAGGCCCGGCGCTCTGGAGGCCGCTCGAGCTGCGCTTCAGTACAGAGGTCACTGTACACCGAGCTGTCGAGTCCAGGGGCCAGCATCTTCCAGCAGCGCACCAGCCGAAACTGAAAACCTTCCCCACAGGTCCGAGAGCACTCACTCCAGCTGCTCGCCTCCCATCTACATATTAAATGCACAGAGAGGGTTGTGTCACTTTTCATGGGACCTGACTATAATGGCATGAGAGAACATAAATGACAGGAGTTTTCAGTTTATGTTTTGATTTTCTTTTGTCTTTCTTATCATTTCCACTGTATTGTAACAATAATAATCCCTTGTTTTAAGTAGCCACATTGCACTATTTTGGCCACAGTTTTAAAAAAAATTAAGGAACAAATTAGAATAATTAAAAACAGTAAAAACATTGAAACATGGCCAATAATCAAAAGATTTGCGAAACAATACATACACTCACCGGCCACTTTATTAGGTACACCTGTCTAACTGCTCGTTAGGGCAAATTTCTAATCAGCCAATCACATGGCATCAACTGAGTGCATTTAGGCATGTAGACATGGTCAAGACGATCTGCTGCAGTTCAAACCGAGCATCAGAATGAGGAAGAAAGGTGATTTAAGTGACTTTCAATGTGGCATTGTTGTGTTGAGTATTTCAGAAACTGCTGATCTACTGGGATTTTCACACACAACCATCTCTAGGGTTTACAGAGAATGGTTCGAAAAAGAGAAAATATCCAGTGAGCGGCAGTTCTGTGGGCGCAAATGCCTTGTTGATGCCAGAGGTCAGAGGAGAATAGCCAGACTGATTCGAGCTAATAGAAAGGCAATAGTAACTCAAATAAGCACTCGTTACAGCCGAGGTCTGCAGAAGAGCATCTCTGAATACACAGCATGTCCAACCTTGAGGCGGATGGGCTACAGTAGCAGAAGACCACACCAGGAGCAACTCCTGTCAGCTAAGAATTGGAAACTGAGGCTACAATTCACACGTTCACCAAAATTGGACAATAGTTGATTGGGAAAATGTTGCCTTGTCTGATGAGTCTCGAATTCTGCAGCGACATTTGGATGGTCGGGTCAGAATTTGGCATCAACAACATGAAAGCATGAATCCATCCTGCCTTGTATCAACGGCTCAGGCTGCTGCTGGTGGTGGTGTAATGGTTTGGGGGATATTTTCTTGGCACACTTTAGGCCCATTAGTACCAATTGAGCATCGTGTTAACACCACAGCCTACCTGAGTATTGTTGCTGACCATGTCCATCCCTTTATGATCACAATGTATCCATCTTCTGACAATGCACCATGTCCTTAAGCACAAATCATCCCAGACTGGTTACTTGCACATGACAATGAGTTCACTGTACTCAAATGGCCTCCACAGTCACTGAATCCAATAGAATCCACCTTTGGGATGTGGTGGAACAGGAGATTTAAATCATGGATGTGCAGCCAACAAATCTGCAGCAACTGCATGATGATATCACGTCAATATAGACCAAAATCTCTGAGGAATATTTCCTGTACCTTGTTGAATCTACGCCACAAAGGATTAAGGCACGTCTGAAGGCAAAAGGGGGTTCAACTTGGTACTACTAAGGTGTACCTAATAAAGTGCCTGGTAAGTGTATATGTTTTTAAACCTGATTCTGTCTGCTTCTGTCCCTCCCCTTAAAGTTCCAGGGGCATCTTACAGAAAGTTTGTTAACTTAGGTGTTAATTTAGGATGGGATATGTTGTGTAAAATTATGTGTTATTGCAAATTTGTATTATAGAAGCAAATCTTGACCCGATTTGGGACTCTTAACAAAATTATGCGGTTGCCTTAAAGTTAAGACGGTTTTTCAGATTTTTTACGTCAAGTTAACACACAGACCTGGGCTGGCATTCTCTACCAATGCAGAAATCATGAACCGGCTCAGGTCGAGTCAAAGCGTCACAGTAAACATCATCCACCTCGATGCCATCATACCGCACACACATGGCAAGTGATTTTGACACACCTGTTTGAGAAAGAGTACTGCGTTAAAAAAGTTCACCGCATAAACAAGCATAGTTGTCAGGAATGTCCACGTGTGGCTGTTTGCTGAATTACAAGCAATCGATTAAAGTGATAGTTTACCTTTGTAATAGTTTACTCATCTTTCACTTGTTTCAAACCGTTTTGAGTTTCTTTCTTCTGTTGAACACAACTTAGGATACTTTAAAGAATGTTGGAAATTAGCACCCATTGACTTAGCACTTTATGTTTCTACTATGGATGTCAATGGCTGCTGCTTTCTAACATTCTGTAAAATAACTTCATTCATTCATTCATTTTCTTGTCGGCTTAGTCCCTTTATTAATTCGGGGTCGGCACAGCAGAATGAACCGCCAACTTATGCAGCGGATGCCCTTCCAGCTGCAACCCATCTCTGGGAAACATCTACACATTCACATACACACTCACATAGGACGACACATTTTTGGGGCCCCCAAAGATATTATTAGGGGCCCAAATGACCATCATACCCAAAATCAGAGAGAAATATTAGGATAACAATCATGTAGAAGTGCATAAACCTAACTGTAAGCCTAAACTGTAAACGTATGCCTTAATTCTGATTGGCTGATTGGAATGTTGTTCGAGGATCAAACATAGATGTTTATCCAGGAACATGTCCTACTTGGTGAAATCAGGTTAGGGAAATGGCAATGGAATGCAATGAATGGGGAATAGGTACGGGAATGGCTACCAACATTTTTAAAAATACATGTATCTTCTTTTGTGTTCAATAGAAGAAAGAAAGAACAAGTAAAAGCTGAGTAAATTAATTAAAATTGTTCAGATATAACTATACCTTTAAACATCCTTCCTTTTGTTTTGATTAATTTGTGTGCTTTCGCCTTTGTTGTGGTTATCATAAGGGAGAACAGAAAGTATTGTATTATTGTATTAGTAGCATTAATTCAACCCAGGCTCATCCTGAAAACGTATCCCTATATACATTTCTGGAGAGCGCCAAATACGTCCCAGTAGCTACGCTTTTTTTGGCAGTTTTTGTAAATCCACCGAGGAGCGCTGTGTATGCTTTTTGAGATCTCAAATTTCTCCCACGATTTTCAGATTTTACCACATTCTTACCCTGTTATCTTACTAGTTTATTCGATTTTTTGGCTTCTGTTTTTAGCCCCTTTCACACATACAGACCTGTACAGACCTCTTCTTACCACAGAAAGGTCTGTATATGTGAACAGGTCCTTTTTGAAAATGCATGTAAATTCGTTGCGGCTATTTTCAGGAAAGAGAAGTTGTAACATTACCGGTAATTTGTCGGAATGCTGCGCTGTGTGAACGCAGAAGGAAAATTGCCAGAAAGAGCACGTTCACGTCTAGAACGTGCTGACGTGAGACGTCTACTTTAGCCAATCAGAACACTCAGACGCATTCATGTCACATATCATTGTGTGAAAGGGGTTTCTGTTTTGCCTGCTTTTGGAACCGTTTTTCGCCAGACTCGAACTCCATTGTCATAGTCCACTACTCTCTGCGTCTCAAGTCCACAGACATACATGGCGAGCCACTGGTCAAACTGGTAACAGCAGGAAAGCCACATGGAGACGAGCAGTAAGCTTGTAAGCGTGAAAAGAAACCACTTCATACCGCCCTTAGATGAAATGCAGCCATGCGTTCCTCAGGCTACATAATTCGAGATCTTCAGAAATGTATATAGGGCTACGTTTTCAGAATGAGATTATGTTGCATTCATTTAAGTTTTGCCTCTTTATGAGCTTGATCCTTCATTTGTTTAAGCTGGAAACCATCTACTAATTGACTAAATGCAAAAGTTAATGATTACCAATGGAGCATGTCATACTGCAGGGCTCCTGTGTGGACAACTTCCACCGGTACATGTCAGCAGCGCTTGGTTTGTTCTTCTGAAGGAGCCTATGGTTATTCCTGCAATAAAAAAAACAGAGCATCTCAGGGTGCTTTCACAGCGGTAAATAAGACGGTTCATGAAAAAAGTATTAATTAACGTCAGAATGAAAATTACTTTTGTAAACCATTTAAGATGTATATAGTATAACGAATAATATAAAATACTGTTGTACATGATCTCGCAGTCACAATCTAGCCCATGCAGATCGCTGGAGAACTATAGCTCTGCCACCAAAGGAACTACAAATGTCATCATACCTGTACTCACACCAGTAGCAGTTCACCCAATGATTACACACACACACGCACACACACACACACACACACACACAATCACACACACACACAAACACACACAGGCACGCACACAGCTGGGACATGATCAAAGTCTGATTACACAGACTATATACACTGCTCACTTTCACACACTCTTTGCTGAGTCTTGCTTTGCCCAGTGAACATTACAAAGCATTATTTCCTGTTTGTCTTGCCGTGTTTTGATCCTAGTCTGTTTAAATTTTTTTGCCGCCTAGCCTGACCATTTGCCTGTATTTCGACTACGGATTATCTATATGCTACTGTTTGCCCCAGTTTTGACCATTGCCTGCACGACTTCTCTTTAAATCAACAGCACTTAAATCCTTCTCTCTGTTGTCAGCGTCTGCTCTTAACACTTGTCACTTGCTTGGAATTCATTAAATTCTGTAATAAATACTAAAAATAAAGGTTTTGTACTGCTAGTGTAAAAAGTAGATAAATTACAGTAAAAGTACTGTAAAATTCTACTTATTAAAGAACATTTCACCATAAAAAGAACTTGCAGTAAGGATGTTTTACAGTACTGCGGTAGGGCCATGCTACTGTAAAACACATTTACAGGTAAGTGACTGTAAAGAGGCAGTTGCGGTAACATGCTGGAAACAGTGCAGCCGGTAAGTTATAGTTAAAATACAATAAAATGTGCACCTGCACTGTATATTAGGCAGAGCATTCACGTTTGTTGACGCCGAGACACAGACTGACACTCCAGCCATGAAACCACTAACATTTTTACCATTCCTGGTCACACTCATTACCTTAATGTCAAGGCTGGAAAACAGCACATTCCCTCAAACCAGACAGGAGCCAATAAAATTTGTTCCTCGTGATAAATTCCTGGGATTTATCTGATGCGACAAGCATAGTCTGTACCCGAGTGATCTATGGCGCTTTTTTTCCCTTAACCAATAGCAAAACATCATGAATTATGTTCGTCTTCCTTGGGCTCAGCCTAGGCTTTTTCTTCTCACCACCTGGAATCTTTCTCCTCGTCTTTGACTGTGTGTACGGGCATTGCATGAGATGTTCTTTATGGTCTCTGGCAGAGGGGCTGGTAAAGCAGTGTTTGGACGCAGCGGAGGGAACCCAGCATGAATTATAAATATGATGGAATGCAATCCCGCCAGCTTCTGCTTGGCCGTCTCTCCTCTGTGCTCTTTGAATGTCTCGGAGAACGTTAACAAAAAAAAAAAGCAAAGCCTCGAGTCTGCAGCACATTCCATTCCTCCATGATCAGGACTGTCCCACCCGAGACCATCCCGCAGCACTTTGGCATGCCAGTGTTGAGGATTAGGCCCTGCTTCTAATATTCAAAAACCACCAGTGAAGCCAAATAATCAATATATCAATTGGTTCCTTGGCATGATCTTTAGAGTGTTACCAGTAGGTCAAGCAGAGCAACTAATGAGCTGAATTGTTCAACTATAGAGTTTGAATCTAGACTAAAGACATCTAGTTGTACTAGCATATAAATAAAACACAAACGCATAACTTTAAAATCCAAACCCTCTAAAGGATTGTTAGAATGCTGTAGACATAAACACTGTAATTTAAATGGCATCTACACTCATGTGAGGGATCGTTTATATGTTTTCTCTTTTATTTTTTTTTTGTGTCATCATGGATGACTACTGGCTACTTTGACACTCTTGCCGACTGGTGTCAACGCATGATAAGAGAGTTTAAAATGCATTATAGATCCTACCAAACTCCATGGTGTATGAGTTATGATACACGATGATGTTTACCTGGTTTGATCGTCACAGTTGCGTAAAACTGTAGTAATATTTCTGTTTTGGAGCAGTAATTCTGTGTCATTTCATCCGTTCCTGAGGGTAAACTCAAACAGTGAGCCATTAAGACTCTCATTATTCACATTAGTCACATCATCAGGAGATCACTAGCCAAAACAGAGACTGATATGTTGCTTTGGGATTATTAATATGCACCTAGTGAGACAACAATGACCAACTTCCACCCCTAGTTATTTTTAATTTCATGTTTAACTTACTATGTATGTGGGACTTTTATTTTGAAAATGAGAGACACAGATTGTTTGCTATGTATTACAACTGCATGAGACATGTTGTCCATCCTGAAGAGGCATAAGGTATGTTTGAAGGGCACCTAGGTTACCCCTTTTTTAGATTTAATATAAGTCTTTTGCGTCTCTAGAATGTGTATATAAAGTTTCAGATCAAAATACGCATCAGATTTTTCATTATACCTGTTACAAGATGCTGTTTTATACTGATTTCCAGCAGGGGGTGGTTTTGTCGTACTGTGCCTTTAAGCCGAGTCTTTTCCGTCCACTATTTCTACATGCCTTCTCTCTCAGCTGCGTCAGACAACAGACAGACTTAAAGGAAGAAGGTCTCACGTAGCGTTTGTGAGATACTACAGTAAGAACTAACCTTTACTAATCAGTATTGTGAAGTTGCATTGATGAGTCACACACAATATCGTTACAAAGTTAACACGCGCGCACACACACACACACACACACACACACAGATACACACACAGGCAGACAGACAGAGCGCGCTTAGCTTAGTTAAGGCTAACCTCAAGTACTGTGTGGATATCTGTTATGCTAATGTACAAAATAAACCTGATTTAACTTCCACAAACCGGGATTGAAGCGTCTTCTTTTATAATTGTTCTGACACGCGGCTGTGCTGATGAAGTAAAGCTGAAGTAAAACGCTGTAATTAATTACACACATACTCTGTTTTAAAACACTTTAAACATGTGAAACTTACTCTTAATCACATTTGATGATGATTGCTGATCCTAGCTAACAGAACAGACCTTTTATTCCCGGTTGCTTTGCGTATGTCTGCCTGGTCTTGTTGACATATACACGTGACTACCGGAACATGTTAATGTGCGCAGCTGTCAATCAATTCGGTGGGCGGGGGGATCGCACACCTACGTAATGGTGCGATCGATTTGAAAACAGCTCCAATTGGCCGACCCTTTTTTTGTAGGTAAATTGAAAAAAAAAGGACTGGGTGTGTTCATATCACCCCAGTATGACGGTCTATACACTATACCAACACACAGATCTGTCCAAACAGCTTGAAAAGTAGATTTTTTACCATAGGTGCCCTTTAAATCCCACCAAACTCCAGAACAGAACAGTAATGATACATGGTGATCCTTACCTGGTGCGATTGCCACGGTTGCGTAAAATGGCAGTAAGATTTCTGTTTGGGAGCAGGAGGTCTGTGTCATTTCGTCGGTTTCCGAGGGTAAACTCAAGCAGTGAGCCATTAAGACCCGCTTGCTCCAAACTGCTGTAGTCCAGCTCCATCGGCTCAGCTTCAGACGATAAGCCATCTCGATGCGTAAGAAGCTGGTTGGTGGAGATGTTGGCGAGGACACCATCAGAGCCGAGCCGCTCTCCTAAAAGCACTCTCCAGATCAGGTTTTCAGAGTTTACCATGTCCTCTGCCGGTCGGCTGACTGTTGCTGTCCCAGGAGCTCCTACTGCACTGGGCCAGCTGCAGTTCCCCTCTGTTAAAGTACAAATGAAATCAAAACTAACCATGTTGATTTAGTTAGCCGATATTGTCAGTTTTGTAATGAACAATTCGTCTGAGCACGTCTTTAGGAAAAAAGAAAAAAGTTTGTCCTTGTAATCTTTAATTAAAATCTAAAAATGCACTCCCAGTTAAATTATCAGATTAGGTCTGTCTGAGGTATTGGAGCGTGGCTAACATACTTAACCACATCCATCCAACTGTCAGTTACAACATCGTCATATTCCACCATCATTACGATTTTTTAATTGTCATAAAAATCCAAGAGGGTACTTTAATGAAAGAAAAATAATCACAAACATGAAAAATGCTAATCGATTTGATGTCAGTTGACGTCATAGATGTCAAAATGACATTAGGGACTGACCTGTAATCTATTTTTGACTTTTTTTTACACCAATGTAAGATGTTTAATGTCATTTTTACATCAAGGTAGTTTACATACACTGTTAAAAATATCCATAAATACCATACTAGTTTCCCATGTTTTGTAATTCATTCATTCATTTTCTTTTCGGCTTAGTTTCTTTATTAATCTGGGGTCGGCACAGCGGAATAAGCCACCAACTTATCCAGCATATGTTTTTACGAAGTGGATGCCCTTCCAGCTGCAACCCATCTCTGGGAAACATTAATACACACTCATACACTACGGACAATTTAGCCTACCCAATTCACCTGTACCACATGTCTTTGGACTGTGGGGGTAACCGCAGCACCCGGAGGAAACACACACGAACACAGGAAGAACATGCAAACTCCATACAGAAATGCCAACTGACCCAGCCGAGGCTCGAACCAGGGACCTTTTTGCTGTGAGGCGACAGCACTATCTACCGCGCCACTGCGTCGCCTGTTTTGTAATTTATGTTCTAGTTTTTTATTTATGCTTTTGAATTGCATTATGGGACCTTGATCTTTATACCAACAATGTTTAACCTTTGGAAAAATGAGATTTATTAACATTTTTAATATCTTAATATATTCCCTGGGATGGTGTAATGAAACCTTAATAAACTGCAGGTACATTTTCTGTTATTTTACAAACTTATTTCTGTAGATAATATTGCTTATAAATAGTTTTTTCGAACTACTAAAATGTAAAAAAAAAAAAAGCCACATTGGAAAACTGTAGTTGAATTTTCAGCATCAAAAGTCAACATCACAATAATGCAATTCACAACGTAAAATAAACAAAGAACTTGTGAATGAAAAAATATAGAAAATGTTATTAAACAGATTATTTTACAGTCTATGGGTACAAAATCTAGTGTGAATTTGGAAAGGCCTAACAACTGTTCTTATAGTATAATACTTTTCAAGTTGTTATTTTGTTGATTAAGAGAATATCAATGCATGGATGTCAAATAGATGTCAAGGTTTTGACATCAAATCGATTTGCATCTATGATGTCACTGTGATGTCGTTTTGACATCAAAATGCCCACTGTGATGATTTATTTCTTAACAGAACAGACACCAATTAAAAACTGAGCGTGACAACTCAATGCAGCACACCAAACAAAACCGTGGTATGATGATGGACAACTGAGTCTGAGTGCCAACCTGAAAGCTGACATCATTCCTTTCATTTTTCTTCAGCTTAGTATCTTATTTATCCGGTTTTGCCACGGCGAAATGAACCGCCAACTTGTGTTGTGTATATGTTTTATGCAGCGAATGCCCTTCCAGCAGCACCGTGGTACTGGGAAATGCCCATACACTCTCACATTCACACACACACACTCATACATTAAGGCCAATTTAGTTCATCCAATTCACCTATAGCACGTCTTTGGACTGTGAGGGAAACTGGAGCACCTGGAGGAAACCCCCGCCAACACAGTGCAAACTCCAGACAGAAATGCCAAATGGCCCAGCCAGAACTCGAACCAGCAACTTTCTTGCTGTGAGGCCAAGTTACACATAATTGTTTCCCAGTACTGGGTTGCGGCTAGAAGGGCATCCGCAGCGTAACACATAATGCTGTAATAGTTGGTGGTTTATTCAGCTGTGGTGGCCCCTGATAAATATAATAATAATAATAATACATTTTATTTAAATGCGCCTCGCTGGCAACTCAAGGACACCGTACAATAAAACAAGAGCACTAAAACAACAAGAGAAATAATACAAATATATGAACATGCAAACTCCACACAGAAATGCCAACTGGCTCAGTCGGGACTTGAACCAGCAACCTTCTTGCTGTGAGGCGACGGAGCTAACCACAGTGCTAGCCACAGTGCTGCTGAAACATATACATTTACAGCTAAAATATAGGATTAAGCCAAAGCAAATGTACGAATGAATGAATGAATGAATGAATGAATGAATGAATGAAAAATACAAAATCTGAGGGCCTACTCACACTACGCTATCCGTACCATGCCCAGGCCCGTTTCCTGGATCGTTTGAGAAGTGTGAGTGCGCTGAATCGCGGTTCACTTGGACTAGTGAACAGCCCGAAACCGAAAGCGAGACGTGACTTTAACCGTTTAATATGGATTAATTAATCATTCTTACTGTTCAGTGAACACAAACTGCCGTAGTTTATTAAATACGCAAACCCCTCACTGCACGACAGCTGCACCTTCAGCAAACCTCCTCATTCCTGCAGCACGAGGACTTTATGATTGTTTAAGAGCGCCAAAAGTGCCGGATCTGTTCGGCGAAATATCTGACTGCATGTCACCGCATCCCTAATGACTAAAGCGATATAACTAGAGAAATCTCCACTGTGCTGAGCGAGAGCGCTTACTGAACAGCGCAGCATCGATGACGTAGGCGTGCCCAGGCCCGATTGTAATGTAAGTGCGGGCCGTCGGGGAAGACGGGAGGGGGGACAAGAGTGCTTTGGCCCGGTTCAAAGGCAACTGTACATAGTGTGAGTACACCCTAACATTATGAACTGTGAGGGGAATAATGTCTCCTTATTGAATCCAGTAAAAAAAAAAACATATTTTTTAACAGTTTAACAGAAGTTACTCCCATAATTACCACACATCATCATGTGACGTAAGAAAAAGTGGGATATAGCAAAGAAATTCCAGTAAGTAGGATTGTTTTGCACACTTTTATCATGATCATTGACTAACAGAACCAACTGCAAACCCAAATGCCCATAACTCTCAGACTTACACATAGGAAAAGAAAGAGGGACTTTTCTGAATTTTTCATTCTCTCAGTTTATGCATTATGAAGCACTCCAAAGGGCCAGTAGAAAGAGGCGTTTTAACGTTTTAACTGATGACTGACCACTGAACCATGCGCTGTCTCTGTCTAGTCTATCCTTTCGCTTCAAATACAGTGAAAGCATCACTTTTGCGCAGGAATCTCAGAGGTGAAGTGGATTGTTAGCTCCTTGTTATATATAAAAAGGTCAGGTAGGGTATGGAGGTGATTAATGCCATCTCATGAAACAAATACATTCATTCATTCATTTTCCTTCAGCTTAATGTCCTTTCAGCTGCAACCCAGTTCTGGGAAACACTCTCATTCACACACACTCATACAATACGGCCAATTTAGTTTATGCAAATCACCTATAGCGCATGTCTTTGGACTGTGGGGGAAACCGGAGCACCTGGAGGAAACCCACACCAACACGGGGAGAACATGCAAACTCCACACAGAAATGCCAACTGGCCAAGTCGGGGAGTGGGGTCCGGATGCAGACCTGGTGCTGTGTAATCAGAGCTGCATCCAATGCTTTTTAATGCGCTCACCTAACCCCACCCCTAACCCTACCCGTCACAGTGACTCACTCCATTGAGTGCATTGTGTCCGACATTGCATCGCTGAGTGATGCAATCTCAGCTTGCATCATAAAGGCTGCATCTAGATACTATTGAAGTCGGGACCTGAACCAGCAACCTTCTTGCTGTGATGCGACAGTGCTAACCACCGTGCTTGCCAGCTGAAACATACACATTTACAGCTACTTTGTACCATATTTAGAAAAGCGCCTGTCCAGTATGTGGTGGATCATCTCACATTAACCAGTAAACAAAAACAACCAATAGTATCTAAAACTGCATATTATTCCTTTCATTTATAGTATAATTTCATTCAGGGTGACGTGGTGGCGCAGTGGGTAGCACGTTCACCTCACAGCAAGAAGGTCGCTGGTTCGAGCCTCTGCATTTCTACGAGGAGTTAGCAAGTTCTCCCCTGTGTTCTCGTGGGTTCTCGTTCTCCAGTTTCCCCCACAGTCTAAAGACGTATAGGTGAATAGGCTAAATTGTCTGTAGTGCATGTGTGTGAAGGAGTGTGTGTGGATGTGAAGTGATGGGTTGCAGCTGGAAGGGAATCCGCTGCGTAAAACATATGCTGGATAAGTTGGCGGTTCATTCTGCTGTGGCGACCCTTGATTAATAAAGGGGCTAAGTTGAAAAGAAAATGAATGAATGAATTTCTTTCATGAAAAATGCTAAATCTAATATTCTATATGTAAATGCATTTTGATGTTAAATAATTGAATAATAAAACAATAAAAATATTTAGTGGTGTCAATTAAAATCACATTTGTTCACAAAGTATGCCACTTTAGTGACCGTAAAGTAATTTTTTAAGTATTTTTGTAAACTGAAGTATTCAACGCTGCAACGATGCAAATAAATTACATTTTTAAATAAATTAACACTATATAAAAAGTTATTTTAAATTATGATAATTGTAATAAATTGTAACAATTCAGAATTGCATATCTAATAAACCTCAGAAATTTCAGAAATTCTTAATAAATTAAAATATACACAAAAATCAAACAATCTCAGACTGAAATCTACATTATAAGATCATTTAATGTAATAAATGAAAATACTTTTTCACTGAAATGTCTCTGACATTTGTAAAATCCCGCTGGACAAAAGTTCAGTCAAAACACAAAACATATTTATATGTTTACATATGCATGTTTAAATTTAGCTTACTAAATTAGCTTATGTGTGTGGGACTTTTATTTTGAAAACGGGAGATGCAGATTGTTTGCTATGCATTACTGAGCAATCACTCTGAAGAGGCATAAGATATGTTTAATGTATCTATTTTTCATTTATCGTGTTTATTAGGAGCAATCCAAATATGGTCAATAAAGACCTTTGATGTTAGGGGTTATATATAGAGTAATAAATAAACCTATAAAACCGTTCCTGGGTATTTTTTTAAACTTACTTATGCCGATGTCATTATTATTATAAAAATGTATTCAATATTTTTAAAATTAAGTTTAACAGAGCATGGAATTTTTCACAGTATTTTCTATAATATTTTTCCTCTAGAGAAAGTCTTATTTATTTTAATTCGGGTAGAATAAAAGCAGTTTTTAATTTTTCCAAACCATTTTAAGGGCCATATTATTAGCCCCCTTTAAGCTATATTTTTTTCGACTGTCTAGAATAAACCAATGTTATACAATTGTGTGCCTAATTACCATAACTAACTTAGTTAAGCCTTTAAATGTCACTTTAAGCTGAATACTAGTATTTTCAAAAACATCTTGTAAAATATTATGTGCTGTCATCATGGCAAAGATAAAAGAATTTAGTTTTTAGAAATTATAGAAATTAATTATTAGAAGTTATTAAAACTTCTGCTAAACAGAAACTGGGGAAAAGTATTACAATTTGGGCTAATAATTCTGACTTCAACTGTACCTACTTTGTAGATATCAGATAAAAATGTAACCTATTGTACCAATGCAGTATATGGCACCTTTAAAGATATTTACCTGTATATTGCACTTGTGTGTTAGCGTCCTGCTCGCAGTCAATGTTAGCCGTCTCATACACTTCATTGGTTTCCTGAGCAGGCTTTTGTCCCTCCACAGCCCTGGGTCCGGTCGTCTGTTCCTGGTTCTTATCATACATGCTCTGGTTATGCTGTAAAACACTCACAACCTCCACTGAAACCAGACTGGATCCTCCCTGCGGCCCCGTGTAAATGGGAGGCTGTGACACAGAAGCCATAGAGTCCCTCATCACTGTGTACTCATATGTGATGTACGGATTTTGCCCATTCTGGTTCCAGACCTTTTGAGAAAACAGAAAGAGACATATCCAACAAATATGTCATAATAATATCTCATTTCACCTTTGCATGAAGCATTATTAACATTGCGAACTACTGTAATCATGGCAAAAAAGGGGGGGTTGAAAGTATACAAAATTTCACTGTGTCATCCCACATTTTTTTAAAAAAAGGATTATTGACGATCCCTTTCTTTAATCATTTTCGTTCAAAATAACAGATGACAAGCCATTGAATTATTATATTATTATTATTATTTTATTTCTTAGGTGGTATTTCTTATTATTTTCTAATAATTCATTGTTGTCAATTATCCCTTTCCTTAATCTATAAGAATATTTGTAATTTCTATAAAAATAAATGTAATATCTAAAAATATTTTATATTAAAAGAATATAAATTAAAAAATCATTACAATAATAACCTAATAATAACCTAGTAATTCAATGGTCTGTCTTCAGTTATGACTTCTTTGATAGTTTTCATAATAATAAGGATTAAAATATTAAGTATTATATTTATATTTAAATAATAAGAATTATATAAAAAAAACTTAATAATAATAATAATATTTATTATAATTCTAATTATTATTATTATTATTATTATTATTATTATTATTATTATTATTATTATTATTATTATCTAATAATTTAATGGCCTGTCATTAGTTATCCCTTTCTTTAATAGTTTTCGTTAAAAATAATAATGAAATAAAACTAGTCTAATAATAATTATTATTATTATTATTAAATTATTTATACATTCATTCATTTTATTTTGGCTTAGTCCTTTTATTAATCAGGGTTTGCCACAGCGGAATGAACCACCAATAATTCACACTCATACACTACAGACAATTTAGCTTACCCAATTCACCTATAGCACATGTATTTAGACTGTGGGGTAAACCGGAGCACCTGGAGGAAACCCACGCCAACACGGGGAGAACATGCAAACTCCACATAGAAATGCCAACTGACCCAGCCGAGGCTCAAACCAGTGACCTTCTTGCTGTGAGGTGACAGCACTACTTACTGCGCCACCATGCTGCCTAATAATAATAATTATTATTATTATAATTATTATTCATTCATTCATTCATTTTCTTTTTTGCCTAGTCCCTTTATTAATCTTGTGTTGCCACAGCGGAATGAACCGCCAACTTATCCAGCATATGTTTTACGTAGAGGATGCCCTTCCAGCTGCAACCCATCACTGGGAAACATTAATACACACTCATTCACACACATACACTACGAACAATTTAGCTTACCCAATTCACCTATAGTGCATGTCGAGGCTCGAACAAGCAACCTTCTTGCTGTGAGGCGACAGCACTACCTACTGCGCAACCGCGTGGTGATTATTATTATTATTATTATTATTATTATTATTGTTGTTGTTGTTTTTATTATTATTATTATTATTATTATTATTATTATTATTATTATTATTATTATTATTATTATTATTATAATTATTATTATTATTATTCTATGGTCTGTCATCAATTATCCCTTTCTTTGATAGTTTTCTTAAATAATAATAAAATAAAAAATTATTATAAAATTATTTAATAAAATTAATCATACTTAAATTGGGAAAAAAAAAATTTAAAGGGTGGCTAATATTTCAGGGGGCTAATAATTCTGACTTCAACTGTCTATATATATTCATATCATGTCATCAATGATCCCTTGCTTAGTTTTAATAGTTTTCATAAAAAAATAATAATAATCTAATAATTCAATGGTTTGTCAATTAAATAAAAATTGTATAATAACAATAATAATTATTATTATTAAAACAATAATCTAATAATTTTGTCATCAATTATCCTTTTCTTAAAACTCTTTCTTATCTCTTTCTTAAAAAACAGATTGAAAAAAAATTCAAGGTTTCCCTGTGTCATCCCGCATGATTGATTAAGAAAAAGACAACTGACAGAAAAAACTGTTGAAAATTGTGTCCTCGACTTTCTTAAACATGAGATTTTTGACTGTTGTCTGCTGTGAAATCACTCTACACTCAAAGAAATAATTGTGCTACTACTTATTTAAAATGAGCTTTTTAATTGATTTATTAGGGACAACTTAACTGTTCAATGACTGGTCAATAGTTAACATGATCACCTTGTGTTACAGGAAAACATGAATGAATTGTGTGGATTCCTGCATTTTCTACAGTGTATACAGAACAGTGATGTGGTCAAGCCTTCCTGGAACTACTTTAACAGTGTGATTATCAGAAAATAATACACGCCTACAAATATCCATCAGCCAAACAGAACTGAGCATTCAACAGTACCGATAATAAGATTCATTGCTCCTGGAACAATGCATCAGAGTGAACCATTAGACTTTGGCCTGCACTAAGTCAAAGCCATGGTTAGCCAGCCAGTGAGATTACCCATGAGCCCTTGGCGGCGAAGGGAGGACCACAGCTACAGTACCAGAACATTGATGGGCTGATCGATGGGCCCTTTCGCCACGATGTACTCGATCCCCGTCTCGTACACATCGGTGGGCCGCCGGTATTTGAAAATGGTCCCTGCGGCGTGGAAGTTCTGAGGGGTGTCCATCTTATACGCCCCATTGAAGAAAAAGTTCCCTGCTTGGTCAGTCACAGCTGGAAAATGACAAGGGGGAGATATAATGATGGGAGGATTGTGAGTATTTCTTTATCATTTGATCTTGTTCAGCAAAATTGTATTAAAGTCTTTTTGTGCATTTTGATTAAAATGGTATAAATATTAAAAATATATTGTTAAAAACTAAATAATTTGCCAATTTTTTATCTTTTTCAACACATTTTAAAAATAATAGTTTAACAACGTATATTTAATAGATATTTATAGTATATATTAATAATTCAGAGGGGGGCTAATAATTCTGACTTCAAATATATATATATATATTTATAACATAATTATATATATTACATATATTATTATACAATTAATTAATTAATTTATTTATTTATACAACAGTTCTGTCTGGTTCTCGAATCTGATTGGCTGGTAGCCGTGATATATTTAAGTTATATCTGCACCCGTACCCGTTCATTGTATAATGATGGTATGTAGACGATCAAAAAAATTTTTTGTTTAAGGGGGCTAATAATATTGACCTGAAAATGGTTTTAAAAAAATTAAAGACAAAATTTTATCAGACATACTGTGAACATTTCCTTGCTCGGATAACATCATTTGGGAAATATTTAAAAAAGAAAAAAATCAAAGAGGGGCCGATAATTCTGACTTATATATAGACATACATACATACACACATACATACACACACACACACATATATATATACGGCTAGAATAAAAGCAGTTTTTAATTTTTTAAAAACATTTTATGGTCAATATTATTAGCCCCTTAAAGAATTTTTTTCCCAGATAATCTACAGAATAAACCATTGTTACACAATAACTTGCCTAATTACCCTAACCTGCCTAGTTAACCTAATTAACCCAGTTAAGCCTTTAAATGTCACTTTAAGCTGTATAGAAGTGTCTTGAAAAATATCTATTCAAATATTATTTACTGTCATCATGGCAATGATAAAATAAATCAGTTAATAGAAATGAGTTATTAAAATGTTCAGAATTGTGTTGAAAAAAATCTTCTCTCCATAAAACAGAAATTCAGGGAAAAAATTAAAAGGGTGGCTAATATTTCAGGGGGGCTAATAATTCTGACTTCAATTGTATATACAGTATATATGACTCCCTTGACTCCCTTAACAGATGGGAATCTGAGAACACATCACTGCGACGGTGCAATAGCCTAGTGGTTAGTGCGGCAACATATGGTGGAGTAACATGTCAGGGCGTCCTGTGTTCGAATCCCGGCTCAATGATATTTGTCAAGTAGTGTATTAGTGTGCATATAAACATACTCTGTAGCTTTGTTTCTCTTGGTCTCCAGATTGAAACTGTTATGCTGTGTTCACACCAGACGCGGAACGCGCGTAAATAGCCGCGTGAACATTTGAGTTTACTCGCTTCATTTGTGCGTCAAACCCCGCTTCATTCGCGTGTCAAATTTACTTCAGAACAGACGCGGATTCGCGTGATGGGCAGGGCTTCTGTCTTCCTGGTGACTATAGCTTCGTTGCTAAATGGCTAACATGGATTTTATGAAGAAAATAACATTGTTTATGTACTTTATGAAGGCTGAAAAACAGCGCCGATACGTTTAGGACCGTGTCTGAGTCCACTACATGCTTTCAGAGGTGCATCCAGCTCTGTGAGCTCATAAACTCCTCCAGAAACTGAACCTGGATCACGGACGCTTTCAACGGTGCTTCTGACTGAGCCAAGCCCAGTTTGATGATTTGTTGTCGGTGTCGCCTGGAGGATTTCCCCTGGGACACCATCAACTGGTTCTACGTCACAATCACACCCCACAAGAGCAAGCTTCTGATTGGTTTACGCGGCGCGAATGTCCGCTGAAGTTCAGATTTTCGAATTCGAGAGATTCGCGCTAAACACTCGTTAAGCGCGTCAAACGCGCAAAACGCTCAATTCGCCTCGCGCGTATCACGCTATTCGCACCGCGCCATTCGCCTCATTCCCGCTGCGCCATTCACGCGTAATGCGCCACAGGATGTCTATTCGTTCGTTTGCATTGACTTAACATGTAAATCACTCACGCTTGACGTGCGTGCCGCATCTGGTGTGAACGCAGCATTATGATGGCCAGTGGTATCATTCACCCCAACTACAAATCCCATCATGTGCTCCAGTCACACAGCTGTTTCAATAGACTCACTGTTTACACACAGCTGTAGACTATTAGGACTGAATATACACACATGTACACACTAAATATAACCAGTCACTCTAGCACTTTGCTGAGTCTTGTTATATCGTAGTGAACATTTCTAAGTGGTTTCCCTTGTCTTGCCTGGCCTTGCTTTTGACCATTTGTTTCTTTAATGTTTATGGATTGCTTTACCAATATACGTGCAAACCAGTCTAAAAACTCCCTGTACAGTTGCTCACCCAGGATATCTGCAGACTTCTTCCTCTCAATAACCTGGATGTCCCATGATCCTTCGGGGATTTGAGTTATGAAAGTATAGCCTTCAAAGAAGCAATTCACTTAGTTAGGACTTTAGTGGACTACTTGATGAATGTAATCAGCACCATTGACTATAATGCAGTTCTGCAAATCACTGAAGTGATGTTACCTAGACTCGAGGCCCCGCGGCGAAAGTTCCCAGTAACTCGACTGCAGCTGCTCCCGTCTCCCTGACACACGCCACACTTATCCAGGGTGTTGGGGGAGAAGAGGACACCGTCACATCCTATGGGCTGCAAAATTACACATCAGCTTATACCAGGGGCGGACTGGCCATCTGGCAATTCTGGCAAATGCCAGAAGGGCCGGACCATTCTTTAAATGTGGGCCGGTCAGCTATTTAAAAAAAAAAAAAAATGTTTGTTATATGTATTGTTTTACATGCAGGCAGCTTTTATCTCTTTTGAGATATGAGTATTATGATGATGATGATGATACTAGTAATAATAATAATAATAAATGTTAAGCATTTGCCCAATCGACAAAGATCGGCTGGTTTCGAGATGGGCTGATCCAATTAGAGGTTACGCAGGTGTAATCAAAATCTGGCAAGAATGTCAAATAAACAGTAAGTGCAACACAAGCTAATTGTCAGAGATGGACCGTAAAAAAGGAAAGGTGGTGCCGAAAAGCTCAGAGAAAGCAAAAAAAAATATATATATATTTAAAATCAGATGCTGCCAAATGCATAAAATTAACTGAAATAGTGTCGAAAGGGCACAGCGCAGAGGCACAAGAAGGTCGTTTTTTTTAAGCCCCGGCTGAGTTAGTTGGTGTTTCTGTGTGGAGTTTGCATGTTCTGGTGGATTTCCTCCTGGTTTCCCTGACAAGTCCAAACACATGTGCTATAGGTGAATTGGGTAGGCTTAATTGTCCGTAGTGCATGTAGATGAATGTGTGTGTGTGTGTGTGTGTGTGTGTGTGTGTGTGTGTGTGTGTGTGCGTGCGCGTGTGTAGGGGGTTTCCCAGTGGGTTGCAGCTTAGAGGGCATCTTCTGCATAAAACATATGCTGGATAAGTTGGCGGTTCATTCCGCTGTGGCGATCCCAGATTAATAAAGGGACTAAGCCGACAAAAAAATGAATGAATGAAATGATTGCATGTATAAATTTGTTATAAATGGGTTGTTTTTGTTCCACTCACATACATCAAATGTTTAAATATCTATTAAATATGGTAGTGCTTATATTATTTCACCATCTGTACACCAATATAAGTAGTAAATGTGCGTGTCTGTGTATGGGGCTGTGTCGGTGTGGTAATGTGGCTACAGTGCCAGGGCTGATTTTTGGGCCCAGTCCGCCCCTGGCTTATACATCTACATCAGGGGTGTCAAACTCAATTCCTGGAGGGCCGGAGCCCTGCATAGTTTAGTTCCAACCCTGCTCCAACATACTTAGGTTTCAAACAAGCCTGAAGGACTCAATTAGTTTGATCAGGTGTGTTTAATTAGGGTTGGAACTAAACTGTGCAGAGCTGCGGCCCTTTTGGAACTGAGTTTGACACCTGTGATCTACATCATCACATGTCTGAGACAATCAATATACAGTAAGCAATGCCAAAATGTCAGTGAGTGTCAAAATAACATTACAATCTCATTTCTAATAACTGGTTTCTTTTTAAGTAGTGCTGTCGCCTCAGAGCAAGTAGGTCGCTGGTTTGAGCCTAGGCTGGGTTAGTTGATGTTTCTGTGTGGAGTTTGCATGTTCTCCCTGCGTTCACGTATAGGTTTCCTCCGGGTGCTCCCGTTTCCCCCACAATCCAAAGTAATTCAGTACAGATGAATTGGGTAGGCTAAATTGTCCGTAGTGTATGTGTGTGAATAAGTGTGTATAGATGTTTCCCAGAGATCAGCTGGAAGGGCATCCGCTGCGTGAAACATATGCTGGATAAGTTGGCCGTTCATTCCGATGTGGCAACCCCAGATTAATAAAGGGACTAAGCCGAAAAGACATAGCTGAAAGAGACAAACAGCTCCTTACTTCACATTTGCCGTCGACACACACGCCTCTGTAGTTGCTGTACTTGCAGGACGTCCCATCACGTGCAGGAACCATCAGCTGTCTTTGACCATCAGAGGTGGTGCAGTGTAGGTCACACGGATTACTGGAGATATGAACGTAGTCGTCTACAGGAACATAAACAGGGACTCTTGGTTTAAACATACATTGGACCTTCGCAGCATGGCTTAATCAAATAAAGCAGTTAATACCAGGATAGAGAGGTTTCCAGTGGTAATTCTTTCCATTGTAAACCTGAGAGTTGAAGGACCAGCACTGCTCTTCTCTGAAACTCCTCCCTGTAGAAGGACATTCCTGTTTCTCACAGAAATACGATTAGGTTACAAGCAGGGTTCTCACAATAAGACAAATGGCCCTGACTTTCAGTGACAAAAAAAAAAAAAAAAGAGTATATTTGTTGAACTGTCCAAATATACATACACTCACCGGCCACTTTATAAGGTACACCTTACTAGTACCAGGATGGACGCCTTTTGCCTTCAGAACTGCCTTAATCCTCCGTGGCATAGAATCAACAAGGTACTGGAAATATTCCTCATAAATTTTGGTCCATATTGACATGATATCATCATGCAGTTGCAGCAGATTTGTCGACTGCACATCCATGATGCCAATCTCCTGTTCTACCCAAGCGGCAACCTCCCGCTCTCTCTCATGAAGCCAATACGGAAGTAACTAAAACTGCAATTCATCCGAAATTCCGCTAGTCCTGGCCGCTTCTGGCTCCAAAACAGAGCAAATTTCAATTGAGCCCACTGCTAGAATGGCTGACTTTACAGCAGAAAAAAAGGTGTTTACAGCCTGGTACAAAAAAAGATTTTGGTTAATACAGCTAATATTACCCTTCATGACAACTGTGAGGGGGGTGAATTTTATAAATATATATTTATATATTTTATTTTTTATAACTCATCCGTTTCCTTTAAATTAAGTTATATTAAGTTTGCATAATTAAGGGCGTGGCCACTTGAGTGACAGCTAGGTCTCTCTGGTCGCCGTCACGTCACCTCAGCTGAATCCTGCAGATTAGCCACTGAACTCGGCATATTTATCGTATTTCTGTGTTGTTTTATGTGGCTTTACACAGTCGACTGCCTTTTGGACTTGTTTCCTACAATTATTTGATGGAATGTCATGCTGAGTGCATTTAATTGTGCTCACAAACCATTCACGTGGCCTCCGTTTCCCATGTGAGTAAAGTTATATACTTATATACTATCTCTATACATGTATTTGTTTTATTTAAGAACATTTATCGTTTATATTTATATTTAGAGCTGTAATGCACTCCAGAATCTGACAGATTGATTAGCTGTGGGCTCTAGATCAGTCATCTGAAGCGTTATCATACAGTGTTATGCTGGATTTCATCAATAGTCTTACATTAACTAACACAGACTATATCTGAAGAGTTTGGAAGTAATTCGCGTTTTCCTCCTGTTGAAAAACGTCATAAGAACAATGTTTAGTGGCTCAATGTATTACAGCAGTGTTTTTAAAAGTCTAAACACTTTATTGATATAGTGTACAACCAAGCACAAGTGGTCAGAATACAAACGAGTCACAGGTGATAAAGTATTAAGCATTTCTCCCAAAGTAAAGTGTGTCTGATCCAGGTCCAAGCTAAATGCTAGCAGGTGTGTGTAGCTCCGCTCACTCTCCGCCTCTTTGCCCTTGTTTGGTATCCCGCCGTGGGTGTGATGACGCGTGAACAAAATGGCGACGGTTGGCCGCGCCTACTTGTGGCTTCTTTTGCGCTCTTCAGAAACCTATGGGTGACGTCACGGATACTACGTCCATATATTTTACAGTCTATGGTTCTACCACATACCAAAGGTGCTCTATTGGATTGAGTTCAGGTGACTATGGAGGCCATTTGAGTACAGTGAACTCATTGTCATGTTCAAGATACCAGTCAGAGATAATTCGTGGTACAATACTCAGGTAGCTGTGGCGTTGACACAATGCTCAATTCGTACAAATGGGCCCAAAGTGTGCCAAGAAAATATCCCCCACACTATTAAATCACCACCACCAGCCTGAACTATTGATACAAGGCAGGATGACATGCTTTCATGTTGTTAATGGCAAATTCTTCATCCGAAAGTCGCAGCAAAAATCGAGACTCATCAGACAAGGCAATGTTTCTCCAATCTTCTATTGTCCAATTTTGGTGAGCCTGTGCGAATTGTAGCCTCAGTTTCCTGTTCTTAGTTGACAGGAGTGGCACCCGGTGTGGTCTTCTGCTTCTGTAGCCCATCTGCCTCAAGGTTGGACGTCTTGTGCTTTCAGAGATGTTCTTCCGCATACCCAAGTTGTAACGAGTGCTTATTTGAGTTACTGTTGCCTTATTATCAGCTGGAACCAGTCTGGCCATTCTCCTCTGACCTCTGGCATCAACAAGGCATTTGTGCCCACAGAACTGCCACTCACCGGATATTGGACCATTCTCTGTAAACCCAAGAGATGGTTGTGCGTAAAAATCCTAGTAGATCAGCAGTTTCTGAAATACTCAGACCAGCCCGTCTGGCACCAACAACCAATTCATGTTCAAAGTCACTAAAATCACCTTTCTTCTCCATTCTGATGCTCAGTTTGAACTGCAGCAGATCGTCTTGACCATGTCTACTTGCCTAAATGCATTGAGTTGCTACCATGTGATTGGCTGATTAGAAATTTGCGATAACGAGCAGTTGGACAGGTGTACCTAATAAAGTGTCCGGTAAGTGTATATATCTGTGTGTGTGTGTGTGTGTGTGTGTGTGTGTGTGTGTGTGTGTGTGTGTGTGCGTGCGTGCGTGCGTGCGTGCGTGCGTGTGTGTGTGTGTGTGTGTGTGTGTGTGTGTGTGTGTGTGTGTGTGTGTGTGTGTGTGTGTGTGTGTGTGTGTGTGAGCAAAGAACGGCAGGACAGATATTGAGGACTGACCTTTGCATTGCAGAGATGATACTTTTTTGCATTGCCTGTGCATGTCATGTTGTCTTTACCGGTTGTTGTTTTCTTCCTTTGAAAAAGGTGTTGCAGTTTAGCAGCAGTTGAATACAACAGGATACACAGTTGAAGACAAAAGTATTTGTTACTCCTGCGTTTTAAGTAATTTTCCAAAATTTCTCTCATATCTCTTGTAACTTTTTATTGCTCATAAATATGACTTGGTACCACATTATTTTGCAATCGAGGCTCATTATGAATACGTACCCCTATATATATTTATGGAGAGTGCCAAATATGTCCCAGGAGCTACGTTTTTTGCAGTTTTCCACCAGAGGCCGCTGTGTACTCTTTTTGAGCTACACAATGCTCTTTAAATATTCTTTAAATATTACCAGCTCAGTTAACAGATCGCTTTTATAGTAGTTGTGTGATGTGCATAATAATTACCTTTGCTTCAGACAGTGTCTCTCCTGTGACATGACGCCTCCTCCGCAGGTACGAGTGCAGGCTGTCCACTTTGTCCATTCACCCCACCAGTATGTGATCACTTCCAGCCCGTCCTCCAGACTGTTAGAGGCAACACCCTCTTCCTTTGGCAAATAAAGAGTTCATTCACAAAACCAACAGTGGAGACCAACATCTGTGCTGAGAGCCGACTATAACACCGCTTTTATTTCATAACTGTCATCATTACATTTTAAACCACTTTAAATGGATGAAAAGTGATGTTCCTCCTACAGTAAGAGTTATGTTGATTTGGTCGACTAGGGGAATCCCTAATCTATTAATTCAACAAAATGTCTCTGTTCCCTCCTTGTTAGAAATAAATATGTAAAAAAAATGAAAAGAAAAGCTAATGAGAAGTTCGATTTGAAGATTCCAAACCTGTCCTCTGCTGGAGAGATTTCCCAGAGACAGAGCCAGAGTTACAAGACCAAGCAGCACCAGACTGATCCTGGACCAGATCTTCATCCTGGAGAGAGTGAATGTTTGGAGAAAAGAAATTCAGTAGTCCCTCAAAACAGACATTTAATTAATTTTTAAAATCTGATATAAGCACAAATTAGGGAGCTTCATTTAGCATTGTCTCTTCTGAGAAAATCTTTAAATGATGACTCTGAATTACACGCAAATAAATAATTTGAATTATAAAAAGACAACAAAAGTTATATATGCTGTTTGATTCCTAAAATTAGAATCTGGAATCTCACTTATAAAACTTTGCGTAGAAACACACTAAATTTACATTAAATAGACGTCTAATAGTCATCTAAACATAGACGTCTTAGCTAAAATAAGGCTAAATTTGGACTGTAAGTGAAAATATAACAGACGTACAAGAACAGCCCAATAATAGACTAATCATCAAAAACAAAGATTAGACAGACTTCACATGTGTAGTCATTCAGCCCTGTCTATTTGATAGCTAGTCTAGTTTTAGCCTTTTCTTGGACGTCCATTAGATGTTTACTGACCGCCCAAATTTAGCCTTGTATTGGCCAAGACGTCTAAGTTTAGATCTATTAGACTTCTTTTAAACACAAATAAATGTTTCTTGGAAACCTCCCCAAGAAATTGTGTGTTTAATAGACATCTAATAGATGTCAAGCCTGGATATCAAAGAAAATCTAATAGATGTCTAAAAACAGCCCAAAACTAGACTAATCATCAAATGCAAAGATTAGACAGACTTTACATGTAGTTATTTATTCCTGTCTATTTAATAAATAGTGTAGTTTTGGGCTATTCTAAGACATCTATTAAATGTTTACTGACAGCCCAAATTTAGCCTTGTTTTAGCCAAGATGTTTAGATGTCTATGAGACATCTTTAAGATTTCTTTTAAACACAAATGAATGCTTGCTGGGAACCTCCCCACCAAGCAATTGTGTGTTTAATACACATCTAATAGACATCAAGCCTGGATTGCTTGCCTAAAATGAGGCTAAATCTAGGCTGTCAATGAAAATCTAACAGAGGTCTAAGAATAGCTCAAAACTAGACTAATCAATAAATACAAAGATTAGACAGGCTACTTCACATGTGTAGTTATATTCAGTCCTGTCTATTTGATAATTAGTCAAGTTTTGGGTTATTCTTTGACACCTATTAGATGTTCACACAGCCCGATTTTACCCTTGTTTTAGCCAAGACATCTATGTTTAGATGTCTATTATACATCAATTAGACTTACTAAAACACAAAGAAAAGCTTGCTGGGAACCTAGCCCACCAAGCAATTGTGTGTTTAATGGACATCTAATAAACGTCTGGGCTATATATCTTGCCTAAAATTAGTCTAAATTTGAGCTGTCAATGAAAATCTAATAGACGTCTAAGAATAGCCCAACACTAGACTAATCATCAAATACAAAGATTAGACAGACTTCACATCTGTAGTTATTTATTCCTTTCTATTTGATAACTAGTCTAGTTTTAGGCTTTACTCAGATGTCCATTAGATGTTTATTGACAGGCCAAATTTAGCCTAGTTTTAGCCAAGACGACTATGTTTCGATCTATTAGACTTCTTTTAATCACAAATAAATGCTTGCTGGGAACCTCCCCACCAAGCAACTGTGTGTTTAATAGACATCTAATAGACGTCTAGCCTGGATAACTTGCCTAAAATGAGGCTAAATCTAGGCTGTCAATGAATAGACGCCTAAGAATAGCCCAAAACTAGACTTATCATCAAACACAAAGATTAGACAGGCTACTTTACATATGTAGGTATTTATTTCTATCTATTTAATAACTACTCTAGTTTTGGGTTACTCTTTGACGTCTATTACATGTTCACAAAGCCCAAATTTAGCCTTGTTTTACCCAAGATGTTTATGTTTACATATTAAACTTCTTAGCTTGCAAGAAACCTTTTATAAAGTGAACTTACACCAAAATAAATTTGTATTCAATTATTAATGATTACGACTCATATGTCAATTTAAAGTTGTTTAACTAAGTTATTATTTAAATTAAATAAGTTAACTTAAAAGCTGCACTCATTCTCATGTGAAGTTTCTCAGCTTCCTAAGATGTTAATATTAGGTTAGATTTAGGTCGTGAAATTGACCAAAGTCCAAAGTGGAGCCAACGTCTCCAACCAACGTCATTTTTATGTCAAATACTGACATTTATTCAACCTAAATCCAATGTCTGATAGACGTCATAATGGTAACATCCACACAACGTTAAGCTGTAACATCATATTGATATTTGGTTGTTTTTAGGTTGCGTTGGAATGGGACCAAAATCAAACGTCTGTCTGACATTGGACACTGATGTTGGTCTGACGCTGGGTTCTGACGTCAACCCGATTTTCATTTTCACCCGAAACGCAACGTCCCCCCAACATCAATCTGATGTCATGTTGACATCCTGTGCCTGCTGGGTTGTTTTTTTTTTTACAGATGACAAGTTTTGTGTGGTAAGTGGCACATTGTACATTTTCACCCACATTTCTAAATGAAAAACTGTGAATTTATGTTAACATCACAATATTTATTGCAGAAAAACAAAACATTGCAATGCCCTTTTTGTTCTAATATCATGCAGCCCACCACCCACCACCATTTAGGTGAATCAGAGATGCTACAAACAGCTAGCACTCAAAATCCACTGCAGTTTATACAGTACACATAGCCCTTTAAGTATTCACAGTTTGTATGTCCAGCAATCTGCTGCGTTCACATACATCAATAGAGTTGCCGCTCTAAAAGCAAGCAATCACGCAAACGTCTCCGGTTCTCCTCATCAGACCCGCACCTCCAATTAGGAATCGTCTCCTTAAAGTAAGCAAACGGATCGTCTCGCTCTGTTTTGCAGTCTGGCTTTTTCTGGCACTAAATATTGGTGACAGGTGTCTTAAACTGGCCACTGGAGCACCTGGAGTTCATTATCCGGCCCAGACACAGCTGGATGTGGGCCAGCTAGCCAAAACACCCGTCGTCTCCCACAGACCACGCGCTTCCCATGTAGGCCAAACACAGGCTAACCCGCTTCCCCTCCCCCGGGGGCCTCCGCTCGGCTGTTTTTCTTTCCCTGGCAGCCGACAGACAGCAGGGCCGGTATCTGTTTTTTGGAGAAGGGGGAGGCAGAGGCTCTGTCTATGAGTTGCAAGGAGACTCATCCTTCAATGCCTCACAAGGATTCCTGGGCTTTCACGTCTCACATGCTGCATTCAAGTGGAAAATCAATCAATGCTGCAGCTTTCCATCGAATAGGTGAAGAGAGCAGCTATAAGTGTCTGGACACACGAAAAAGCTGCGCGCTTGATTGGTAAACACACCAGAATAGCATCAGAGTTTTGTGTTTTTAACCTCACAGTATGTTTTTATTGGTGCAAATAGTCCTGGGCAAAGATTAATCATGATTAATTGCATTCAAAATAAAAATATATGCAGTATGTGTGCATACAGTTGAAGTCAGAATTATTAGCCCCCCTTTGAAAGTTTTTTTCTTTTTTAAATATTTTCCAAATGAAGTTTAACAGAGCAAGGAACTTTTCACAGTATGTCTGATAATATTTTTTCTTCTGAAGAAAGTCTTATTTGTTTTATTCCAGCTAGAATAAAAGCAGTTATTAATTTTTAAAACACCATTTTAAGGACAAAATTATTAGCCCCTTTAAGCTATTTTTTTCCGACTGTCCACAAAACAAATCATCATTATACAATAACTTGCCTAATCACCCTGCCTAGTTAACCTAATAAACCAAGTTAAGCCTTTAAATGCCACTTTAAGCTGTATAGAAGTGTCTAAAAAAATATCTAGTCAACTATTATTTACTGTCATCATGGCAAAAATTAAAATAAATCTGTTATTCAACCGTATATACACTCAAACAATGATTTTTGCTGCTTGTTTATTTAAGATGAGCTTAAACCTCACAATACTTGATTTTTTTGGGACAGCTTTATAGTTTTATGATCAAAACACTTCAATCTGTAAAAACAATTGATTTAACTTAATCGGTCATATTGATTTTTTTAGTTTATCATTTGGAAAAGTGATTTTTCAGATGAATCATCTGTTGAGCTGCATCCCAATCATCACAAATACTGTAGAAGACGTACTGGAACCCGCATGGAGCCAAGATTCTCACAGAAATCAGTCAAGTTTGGTGAAGGAAAACTCATGGTTTGGGGTTACATTCAGTATGGGGGCGTGCGAGAGATCTGCAGAGTGGATGACAACATCAACAGCCTGAGGTGTCAAGACATTTGTGCTGCCCATTACATTACGAACCACAGGAGAAGGCAAATTCTTGAGCAGGACAGCGCTCCTGCTCATACTTCAGCCTCCACATCAAAGTTCCTGAAAGCAAAGAAGGTCAAGGTGCTTCTGGACTGGCCAGCTCACTCACCTGACTTAAACATTATTGAGTATGTCTGGGGTAAGATAAAGGAGGAGAAGGCATTGAAAATGAACTCTGGAAGTCATGTGTTCCCACTTTTTTTGCCATTTCAGGTGACTTTATTAATGAGTGATTTGAGTAATTGCAGAGATGTATGGATGCAGTCCTTCAAGCTCATGGGAGTCATACACAATATTCATTCTTTTTTCACTGCAGCATGACTTTATATTATATACTGTACATTATTTCTGTTAAGTGACAAGACTTTTGTCTAAGCAAAGTCAGAACTTTGTGTCCTAATGAAATAATTAAAAATCATAGCTTGATCATATTTTATTTTGGTAAAATAAGCGTCATCTAGAGGCCTTCGCCTTTCATATAAGCCACTTCTGAAACCAAATGATCAACAAAAGAAGTCAGGTTATTATTTGTTGTTCCTAAAACTTGGATATGGCGACAAGACTTTTATCAGGTAGTGTTTACGTAATTTGCATATAATCCCATAAATCAGATTTCCATAGGAGGTACATAATGCAAATGATAATAAGTTTCTTGTAGGCTGTTAACACGGCACATTTTTTGACTTAAAGCTGAAAACCTGTGCATTTTGGCCAT